TACTCTAGTTAAAAGAGGTAGACCAGCGTATAAGAATTATCTATCTATCTATAATCAATCAGTTCCTTCAAAGACTTATACACAACTATGCTATATCGTCGTAGCTCGTGAAGACTGCATCCGGAGGCGCCGACAGATGGCGATTCCAATCTATTCTGCGGTTTGGCTCACTCTGGTGCCATCCTCGAAACTAGTCCATCATTGCATCGTAGCTGTAGCATTTGTGCTCTCGGCCGAAGAGAGGGTAGTTCTCTTCTTGACTCAGCCATACGGTCGGAATGACTCTAGTATCTGCGGAGCACATGATACGCTCGCGTATATTGTCAAGACAATGTCCTATCGAAATTTATTAGCATGGACTGGGAATGTGGAACGACGAGCGGGACTTACGAACGTGGCTGACCCTATCCCACTCCGGAGTCAAAGTGTCATTCTCGAACTGGCGATAATAGTCTTTGTTGAAGTATATTGCTTTTCGCAACACATTCTGATCTATCGTTAGCAGAAGTTGACTGAACAGGATCAAGTTCAAACTTACCAAGCAGTGCATATCATGCATGCCCTAAACGAAGACTCCGAAACCTCCTGGAATTCCCTCTCCAAGAAAATTATCCGGTGCATACGCATGGATTCTTGGATCGAAGCTATAGACTTCTCGACCGAGCTTCTCTGGGAGCACCAAAATTTGATCGTTCACACCTAGTTCATCCCAGGCCTCATCGACTTCTGGGCTTGGAGGAGCACTCCAACGACTTGTTACATTTGGCCGGTGGTTGCTGAAGTCCATCCGAGACAATGAACGGTCGAGGTGAGAATAGGCCTTTTCAGCTGAAAGTAAATCAGCGTGAGCATTTGTTAACAGAAAGATGACCATGTCTGCTGAAACTTACTGCCTTCCAAATCCTGAGAGTACTTGCTTCTGGCATGTCGATCCGTGAAGGAGTATGTCGTGAGCACTGATATAAGATTTGAAGCAAGTAGCACAATCACCAGGAGGATGTTCGTGCGAGTGAAAACACGCGAACGATGGCCAATGGCTTTGCCTTCGAACAAAAGCGTGTCTTTCTCATCATCCCACACTTCCTCTTCAGAACTCCTTAACGAATCTGCTATTGTTACGGTGACTGTGTTGTTCTCACTCGAAACCGGAGTTGAGACTTGTATGTCGCAGAAACATCGGCATATCGATGTCTTGCATTCGATGCCGAAAAATCCCCATTCTATTGTCCCACTCCGTGCGGCATTTGATAAGGCTCTTCGGTCGACATGCGAAGTCACTGGAACGTGTTAAGCAATCCGTGGGGTGGTGCCATAATTTCTCCGCACGGTACCAGATAGCAGGTTCCTGGGTCACTGAGACTAGCACATCGAAGCTGAATTCTAGTCTCCCAACTAAACCCATTAGTCCTTGAAGCGGCAAACGCCCACACAAGCCTAAACAACGCTTAAACAACGCCTGCACGGCACCTTGGCAGAGCTTGTTTTGCACAAGATAGTGCCTCGGATCGTGTATTCATCAACCACAATCGAGAGTCGCACTTTTAGATGACAGTTCGACTATGCGAAATTGCCAGAGTATGTAAAAGGTCATCATCAAACCCACTTTGTCCTAACAATATTTGCAAAATTGTCCCACGGCGGCGAATGATAGACTAAAGGGCCACGTGAGGCTGCCGTGGAGTAGATGCTTATCTCGATCACTCAACATAGAATTGCCCCATCGGTACTAGCATCGTAAGCCTTGCCTCGGGCCCGGATCACTTCTTCGTGGTCTAGGCCCTTGCTATTGCATGCTGTTGGGAATAAAATCACTAGATGCAGCACGTTGAACGCTCCTCGTGACAGTCGAAACGAAGCGGTAGCTGAAACTAACAGCCAGCACCATACCATGCTCGTGTTCGCATACTAGACATCGAATGTCACTACGTTCAAATTTGATGACTATTCACTCGCTTATGATTCCATCTTGTGCTCTGGCCGTGGTGAGGCGAAGTTCCGCAATAGCTCTTAATGAGCTACATCAATGAACCTCCCGCAGGAGTCCGTGTCCGCTCATGACCACTCATGTGATCAACCATCTCGTTCCAATCTGTCCATCTGGAATCACAGGGAGGAGACAATGACCATCATAGCCGGGCAGTTTTGGGGCAGGCAGGGGCCGTGGTCTCATGTGCTGGAGCTATGAGTGACTTGTGTTCGCTACCGCGCGATCGAAACACTAGAGTCTATCATGTCTGACGTGCGATCCCGTGCTCGATCAAGCAAAGCGGCATGGTCACGTTAGCCGTATCGACCGAGGCATTTACCTGCTGCGAATATAAAAGGCTCTGGAGTTTCTCAGCCACAGCATATCTCATCGTCACAGGTAGTTTGTTGTACCACTTGCACCATGCACTTCTCTGGTGTCGTAGCTCTTTCGGGGCTCATGGCTGTTGCCAGTGCTCTTCCAATCGAAGGTGAGATCAAGGTCGCATCCTATTGAATGCATTACATAAGACTGATCCGCTCTCCAGAGGCGCCCGTCGCTGCCAAGCGTGAGGCAGAGCCTTACTTCTTGGGCAGAACCTGGACGCCTCCAGAGGCTGCAGAGAACACCAAGCGTGATCCATACTTCCTGGGAAGAACTTGGACGCCTCCAGAGGCCGCCGAGAACACCAGACGTGAGGCGCAGCCGTAATTCTTAGGCAGGACTTGGACTCCACCTGAGGCTGCTGAGAACACAAAGCGTGAAGCTGAGCCATACTTCCTCGGCAGGACCTGGACTCCGCCGGAGGCTGCAGAAAATACCAAGCGCGAAGCGGAGCCTTACTTCTTGGGCAGGACTTGGACGCCACCTGAGGCCGCCGAAAACACCAAGCGTGAAGCAGAGCCTTACTTTCTTGGAAGAACTTGGGACTCCACCGGAGGCTGCAGAGAACACCAAGCGCGAAGAGTGATGATCGATATGCTGTTGGAGAATGAGATGAACTAGACCAAGGAAGTAAATAGTCAGCATACTTGCGTACCTAGCTTTCTGACCTTGCTTGTAGCTTTAGCAGAGAGACACCATCGATGAGATACGATGTGACTTGTACCGATAATGAATTGCTGAAAGTACCCTCATCGGTTGTGGCCTGTCACAAACATCGCACCATATCATTGCCAGCCCTAGTCATCAAAGTAAGCTACAACTGAAAGAGATATTCGGTAAGATTCTTGACACCGAGTTGCGACAGGACTGTCAAAGTATCCTCCGAAGCCTCCGATTTCTCCACTTGTTTCGTTTCCAAATCTACCTGCAACAAGATAGTCCCTTGCCATTTGATAGGTGTGTCTTGCAGAACAGTCATGTTGAGCCAAAGTCAGCATTGCTGATGAAGATACAAAAGAAATTACCAATACTTACACAGCTGCTGCCTGGGCATTAGCCTTTCCAGTCCCATGGAATCTAATAGCGATCTCATCACAGCTAGCAAAAGCATGTAGAACGCTTGTTTGGTAATTTGTGTAAGGTGTTTTGGCATCCGATTCGTTTGTTCCTTTGAGCGACTGTATTAGTCGGTCTCTGCTGTCCAGGAATGGCTGATCGGGTCCGACGAGGTGACAATCATTTTTGCCTGGAGTGCTACAGACATAGGAGTCCGCGGCGTACCATTGAAAGCCGGACGTTACGAGGGTGAGGACGAAGTCTTCGCCGTTGAAGATTTTGCCTGTTGTTGGGTCTGTGGTGAAGAGGGTGACGAATCTGGAGGCGATGGATTGTGTTTCTTCGTTTGTGAGGCAAGGGAGGTCTGTTGGCGAGGAGTTAGGATGTGCTGTCGCGCTTGTCATGAGGAGCGAGAAGCTTATGAGGGCTGCTGTACTGATAGCCATGGGTAAAGTGCAGGCAAGTCCAGTTCAGTGGGTGAATATTGAATCTCAGAGCTGCGGTGAAGTGAAGTTGCAATATATCCACAGAACCAGTCATTGCCTTTGTGCTTGATTCTGACTTTTTGAACAAAAGCGTCCGGAGTCTAAGGTGTTCAGGCCAAACACTCGTGAAAAACGGCAAAAATCTGCTCTGGAACTTGCATGCCGCGTAGCTTTGACCCTATGTTGGACGCGAGCTATGCCGGTGAGCCAGGTTCCACGATTGCGAGGGCCTTACAGTACGAGTCATGTCAAGATGCTTACAATGCCTACTGCCGCAAGGACCGGCATTGTAGGATGCGCGACGGCAAGGGCAAGATGGCTGTCCAGTTTTCAGAATATTTCGGTGTCGCGAAGCCTAAGACTGGCATCGATCGATGGCCTGACTGCGCTTCTGCCGTGAATGTCGATGATCTTGAGAGTATATCCTCTCGTCAGTGAGCTCGGTAGCGTGGTATGCAAGCTCACGTTCGAAATGTGTTGCTTACCAACAACAATAGCCAAGGAGGCATAAATCTTATGCTGGCAATCTAGGTGCTTTTTCCTGAAACGGAACGGAACTGGATCCCGGACGAAGCCAGGAAGAAATACAGTTCCAAGCATGCATCTGTGGAATACAGGGATATAAGCTCGAGACTGACTAAAGAAGTTGTTAGTCACTTAGGCTCCATATCGAGGTCACTCAGGGCTGTTCTTCCACCAACCGAAGTCTGGCGATCAGGGTAAGAGTGCTCTAGATCGTCTGCTACAAAAGAAGCAAATGCTCAGAAAACGACATATTCCCTGCGATCCGTCCCCGTATGCATGTGACAAAGTGTACAATTAGTTCCGTGACATTCATAAACTCTATTGTGAAGAGACAGCTTGGACCGTTTTTACTTCAGCTCTTCACAATCGGTGGTTTCCACAAGCCTGGTAACGCCCGAGCTTATGATGCTCTCAACTTCGTAGCTCCATTTGCCCCGATTGTTGGAAGACGAGTCTGCCGCGTCTTCAATGAATGCGTACCTCCATTCTCGGCTGCTTTGTTGGACAATGTGATGGATGACTTGATCAGGCGTTCCTCATGGCCGCAAACTTTATTCTGAGAAGCAACGAGAGGTGGCACGGAGGATGTGGCAGAGATGCTAAAGCCCGCTGATATGAGCTGGCCGAAGTTGTTGTTCGGTGGTCAGCACAGGGAGCAGGTGATGTTCGAAGAATATCGTCAAGGCAAGACGTGCCGAGGTTCAAAACACAGACGCGGCCCACTTTCACATGTCGGCTAACAATACAGCTACACATTATTTTCTTTCTCAAGTGTAGCTCTTTCATGTTGAACAATCATCGACCTATAGTGGGTGCAGTATAGCCTCACAGTTCTCCAACCTGCAGATCCCTGCCGGAGCTCTCTTGAGCTTCCTCACCACCGCCAAAGCTCCATATCGCCCCTCTACCCTCGCCTCGAATACCACCCAAAATGTCCACCTCAATAGCCCAACTCAAACACCTGCTTCTCCACCGCCTCCCCCATCGAACCGACACCTTCCTCACCCACCTCTCCCGCCTCCTCTCCACCGCCTCCGGCCGCGACGCTCTCCTTTGCACAGCCTTCTACACCCTCGCCTTCACCCACGCCCAACTCCTCCGCATACTGAGTCGCAAGTACGAAAACCTCGCCGAAACCATCGCACAAAATGCCTCAAAATCTCTCCTCCCGGGGGAAGCCTTCGTCGCAACAATCGAGCCTCCACACCTCCAGCTCACAGAAACTTGCGTCGCAGTCAAGAGCCTCGGAGACGCAATCGATGAAGTCCGAACATTTTGGCGATTACGCGGGTTAGTCGATATTTACGCCGCAGCGAGGGAAAATTATTTGCGGCCGAGCCGGGACCCCGTCTTGAAGAGTATTGTTTGGGCGAAGATTTTGGCGCAGACGGGGTATCAGTTTTATGAGAATGCGGCGTATTTGGTGAAGAAGGGAGTGTTGAGGTCGGAGCGGTTTGCGAAGAGGGAGACTGGGTGGTGGACAGTGAGTTCGCAGTTTTGGTTTGCGGATGTGTTGTTGGAGTTTGTGAGGTTGGCGAGGGTGAGGCAGTTGAGGTGGAATGAGGAGTTTGGGGCACAACAGGTGGAGAAGGAGGGTGTGGTGGGGGTGAAGAGTCAGGAGTTGGAGGAGAAGTGGTGGTTGCAGTTGTATTCGAATTTGGGTTGGTTCCCGAATGCGGTGCACTGGGGGTGGTATGATGGGTGTGAGGAGAGTCCGATGAATGAGACGATGATTGGGTTGACGGGATTTGTGCCTGGATTCATCAATCTAAGAGCGGCGTGGGAGGCTACGGCGTGAGCGAAGTCGGCCTTCGATAGAAAGCAGACGAGACTCCCATGAGCGAGAAGTGAAGCCCAACGCCCAAGCTGGAACGCTTAGGGCGCAGAGCATATGTCCCATTCAGGCATTATGTTCGCCCACGAAGGGTATAGAAACGACAAGTCGGCCAGTTTTGCAACAACGGAGCTCAGAACAAATGCTTCATAATGAAGATTTACCTTCGAACGAGCTGCGATGAGCTACGCCTCGACGACCGAGGCAATCATGTGGCATGTCTCAATGTCCATCGGAACAATCAGCACAGCCGCAACCACAGAATCAGCACAAGACGAGGAATATCGATTATCGAATTGCTTCGATCATACTACAAATATCTACACCTCCTCTCACCTCCACCAACAAAGATCTTCTACTTCTTCGCAGCCGTATCCTGCCCTTCATCATTATTCTTTGCACTCCTCGTCTTTCTCGTTTGTTCCTGGTTCTCGCTTCCACCTTCGGTCTCTTTATTGCTTCCTACATCTCCTGCTGGGATCTTTTGAGCTGTGGTAGACGTGAGGCGATCTGGGCCATCTGCAACTGAAGGTTAGCGAAATGTGAAGGACGATGGAGGGCATGTGGGGAGGTGGGATGGGAGGGAGGAGAGATTTACTGTCGTCCACGGGACCTGGACCTGTTGGCTCGAGACGTGGATTGACTTCTCCAGTGTTGGGATTTGGCATTGTGGTTGATTCGAGGGAGATGGGGATGTTGAGTTGGTTTGGACAGTCGAGTGGAAGTGCTTGGAAGATTGTATTACAGAGATGAGTAGTAGGTCAATGAGACAGAGTCGCGTGCTTGAACGCCGTTGAATATGTACACATCTACATGATGTACAGTTATTACGTCGACGCGACGTAGGCTACATGTATATCTCGTCGTCATGTCCACGCATTTCGGTACGAAGCTTAAGCTCCACAGGAGGTCTTGGCTCTTCTACAGTAAATCGCCTTTACTGGAATTTGGGTCGCATGTCTGTTCTTGTTCCCCCTTATGCAATGGTCGCAAAGCAAATGAGAAGCTGTAGAAATCATAGCCACTTCTCCTTGACCACATCGATACCGATCCGACGACGAAGCGACTTGAATTTATCCGCGATTGATTTGTCCGAGTTCTTGATCTATTTGGACAACTTCGTCAGCTTTTCACGTCAATGATCCGGCAACATAGAAGACGCAACATACCTCATCATGCATCCTGTCTAGCTCTTCGTGTGTCATCCACACTTTGTAGCACCTCACATGGGTCACTTCATGGAACTGCACTTCCCACTGTACAGCATCAATGTTGACTTCAGAAAAGCCAGCGTCCACGAACCAGCTGCGCGCGAACTGACGAAGTTCGTTGGTGTTAGCTTTAAACCGAGCCAAGGAGTATCCGTTGGGCGGCGAGTTGAAAACTCTCAACTTATCGCGATGGACCAGTTTCAGGGCGGTGACTGCTTTGCGATTCTTCGATGACAGGCTCGCGAGCCACTTTCTCGTAAGCTGCTCCGAGAGTCCTGGGAGAAGACTCGTGTGGAAGGTGAAACTCCCGTAGTAGAAGGCGGATACTGCACGACGGCTGACAGGACTGAAAGATAGCTGCCATGGTGGCTTGTAATGGAAGTTGATCGAGACGATGTCGTTGTTGACCGGGAGTTGCTCGTCTTCCAGAGTTGACATGAGCTTGTATTCGAGAATGGTGTACATCAGTTCCCGTGGGAGAGCGTGGACCCGAGCAATAAGACGCTCATAGTCTTGGGACTTGACCTCCATTGCGTCCGTCATGTTGTTGATGGGAGCAGGTAATATGCTGACGCTGATGATGAGCGCCGCAGCTGCAAGTGCAATATCTCAGTGGGCGATAGTGGGAGACCAGGGGAGGGTTCAGAACTGTTGTGAAGTACACAGCGCGTGAAAAAAAAAGATAGCATGGCACGGTACCGCAGTGAACCTTAACCAGTGGCCTCGAGTGAAGTACCGTGCATACACTCGTCACATGACCAATCATCCGCGCTGGTGACTGTCATAATGGCGAGTGAAGGCGGTTGTCCGACTATGGTGCTTGCTTCAGTGTTGTAGCCTAACCCTCCATAGCAGGGCGGCAGCCGGGCACATACTGACCCAGCCGCTGAATCGAGGACGATCGTTTTGTCTTTCGTATGCAATATTGCCGTTCATTCCGGTGCTTGCACATTCGCATAATTTGTGGTGATAGGTGTATATTTGGAGCGTTCCTGCTGGGTCCGGTCGATGGAATGAAACTGGCCGGTCAGCACCCAAGTTTGTCGAATGCTGGAGATGGACTAGGAGTGATCACGTTCGGCTGAGGGGAAGGTTGGTGTAACTTCCCCACTGCGAGCCCGCCATGATCGCAGAGAGCTTGCAGATATCCAGTGGCCAGGCTTTCCACTGGCAACGAAGCGCCATAGACAGCGATCGTCTGCATTTCCTGGCATAATGTGAGCCATGTAGCCAGGAAATACTTGAGGAGCACTCTCTTCGCCGAGCGCGAGACAACCAGAGACGGATTCTGTCTCTGCCCTTCGGCATCATGCGTGCCGCCAAGCTTGCAAATGTCCGGGAAGGAGGTTCTTTGTTGAGCTCGAGACTGTCACATTCCAGTTCTAACGTTCGTCAGCCACCATCTCTCAGAGGGTCCTTCCATCTCTTCTTCTGCTTCGTGCTACCATACCTCCCAACTCCATGCTGCTCTTCCTCGAAACTTTGCTTGACGACTTTTGGCCATGGTTTGCAGACGTCGATCTTCTCGCGCGGATACATGATCTCCAAGAAGCAGAAGATGAGATAGTCGACAATAGCGACCAGGACAAAAAGCTTCCCAGCCCAGACTCCGCAGCCGTAGTACCTCTTCAGCCTGTCCATGAGAGCAAACGAGATATTATGCTGAGCGGGGAGCCCATAATGCTTGAACTCCTCATCATAGTAGCCTTCGTTATCTGGTGCGGATGGCGTGCCTGTGATGAGATCGTATACTCGCTCTGTTCGACGTGCGATGTCGCTCCAGCTGTACATATTTTTGACCAAGTCGTGGAATTTGTCGCGCCTCACAGATTTCGAAGTGAGGATGCCTACTGCATCTGTGACTCCGCGTACCACATCTTCTACTTCCGGAAGGACAAAGACAGTCATGTTCGAGGGAAGGACTTCCGGGACACCACCGACTCGAGTCGCGACTACCATCAGGCCGCAAGAAGCTGCTTCAACGAGCACTGTGCCGAATGCCTCAGTCAATGAGGTGCTGAGGAACATATGACCCCGCACCATGATGTCGCGAACCTCCTCATGGCGGATGCTACCCAATAGCATGACGCGAGCTTGGCCGGATGGTGTGTAGACAAGCTGTTGCGGTAGAGAGTCCAGAGTCTGTTCCAGATCGATTGCCTTTGGCCCACTTCCAGCAATCAAGAAGCGCAAATTTGGGTGCAACCGGAGCAGCAGAGGTATTGCGGAGATGAGCAGATCTGTGCCCTTATTGTAGAACAGCCGCGATACCACAACAATCGTGATGGGGTCGCCTGGGCCAACAAGCTTGCTTGGATCAGGGGGATGAGGAAGATATACGTCTTTCTTGCTGCGATGCTTGAAGTTTTCGGCCTCAGAAGGCGAGTAGGGTCGAAAATCGTGGGGAACAACAGCGTTTGGTATTACCGATACCGCAAGAGGGTTTAGAGACGCCCGGAGTGTGGTGTTCTCTTTGCAGGTGTGACTGACGCAGATGACATGACCCACGTCACTCAAGCTGAATTTGAGCAGTTTGTTGGCCATGATGCTGCCGGCATCGCTGAATCCGAACAAACTATGATCTGTGAAGACGGTGTGCATTCCCATAGTGCGAGCATGAAGTATCGCCTCATGGCACAGGTTGCTGAGAGAAGCATGGCCATGTACGATTTGTATCTGCTCCCGAATGAAGATCTGGCGTAGGATTGGAAATGACGAGAAGACTGTCGGAAATGTTGTGGACCGGTAGACAACCCAATGCGGTAGATGGTAGACCTTGAGTCGATTCGTCAAGTAGCGTACGCCTGAGCGCTTTGGAGAGTCGTAAGCGTGGGTGATGATAATGACATTGTGCCCACGATCGATCAGTTTCTGATCACGGTTAGTTGTGGCAGCGGAAGAAAGTGAGCGGTCACCAAGTATACGCTTGAAAGTTGGTAAATATGGCTTTCGACTCCTCCTGGTTGTGGGAAGAAGAAGTCCGAGACCATACTGTCCCGTTGTCAGCCGATACCAGATTTGTTTGTCGCGGTAGCACTCACGCAATATTGTACGGCATCTTGGCGGCAATGCGTCCGACAAAGACGCGATCAGTGGGGATGGGGGCCTTCGCTGTCGCTGTGTCGATATGAATGGAGCGCTTGGGGTTTCATCGTCAGAGCCAGTAGAGTACGTCGCGGCGACCTGGTAGAAAGGGTAAGCTCCGATGGCAGGTTGAGTACTTGACATTGACAGAGAAAGGGAGGCGTGGTGGTGGTAACTTAGTGGTTCTGTTGCATTAAGGTTCGTTCGCTTGCTCCCGTTCGGACGCGATTTATCCTACGGTATCCCGTACAGCCTTTTCTGAGCGCAACTTCTTCGCTCTCGGTCTCCAGCTACTTCTGTTTGAGCATAAAAATGAACGGATTGTATAAGCGGTACATACCGCCAAAGACCACTTCGGCTGCTCAAGCGGCACCCTCGCTCCCTACACCTCCGCCGACGACATCAAAGCCGATTCCCGAATTCGAAAGTGAGAAGAAGCGCAAGCGAGAAAGGTCTGAAGAAGAGGTAGCAGAGCGCAAGGCGAAAAAGCTGCGGAAGAAGGGGATAGACCCAGCGACGATACAGCATGTCGAGACCGCGAAGCAGCCTGAGCCACAAAAGCTAGAGCCAGCGAAGGGCAAAGGATCTCCCTCAAAACCTGTGCCACAGCCGACAGAGGAAGAAATAAAGGCTACACGCGCTGCAGCAGAAGCGCGAGGTGACTTCTCGCACGTCACAAACAAGAAGAAGCGACACAAATTGGAAGCCCAGGCACGGAAAGCAGGAATACGGGTGGCCGGAAAGATTGATGCGCCGAAAGAGCAGGAGTCGCAACATGAGCATGCTCCTGTGGATACAAAGGAGGTGGCTGGAGCAGCAGAATTGGAGGTCAGTGTAGATGTTCCGAAAGATGTACCTGCGCAGACAGAACAGAGTGAGCCAGCAAAAAATTCGGATGCTCAAGATCCTTCAGCTGAAAGCGTCCCTCAACCGACACAGAAGAGACGACACAAGCTAGAGGCTGTCATTGCTGGAGGTCTCGAGACCGTGCAGGATGGAGAATCGCCTGATAAAGACGAAGATCGCCGTTCAAAGAAGCATGACACTGTGCTGGGGAAATTCAAGAAATCAGCAAAGCGATCGCCAGTGCCTGAAGAGCCAGAGAAGGCTTCTAATAAGCCTGAGCTGGCCACTGTGGATCGGCTTGAGATACCTGATGCTGCGCCGGATGACTTCGTGTCGGACAAGGAGTCTGAGCAGCCTGATTGGTTAAGGAAACCTACACTTGTGGATTCGAGAGTGGGCAAGAAGCCATGGGCAGAGCTCAAACTTGACCCGCTTACCTGTGACCGCTTAACGAAGCTCACCTTCGAGGGCGCACTGCCAATACAACAAGCATTAGTCCCGCTACTCATGCCTCCTGGTGTTCCGGGTGCAGTATATCTGCCAGGCTCAGAGAAGGTTTTGCCTGATGTTGTCGTAAGTGCACCTACGGGGAGTGGTAAGACGGTTTCCTACCTTCTTCCGATTACCGAAGCTCTCCGTCGCGCTACTTCTGTTCCTGCTCAGCAAGGTAAATTGAGCGCCGTAATTGTTGTGCCGACCCAAGAATTGGTGACCCAAGTTGCTGCAGTCGCCGAGTCCTTAGGCAAAGGCAGCAAGATCAAAGTGGGACAATCGAATAGCAAGCACAGTCTGCGCGAGGAACAAAGGAAGCTGGTGAAGCAAGGCAAATACTACGATTCGGCTGAGTACGATCGATACATGGCCATCGCGGATCTTGGTCAGCCCCAGAATTGTCCAGACGATGAAAGGTCTCCGGAGTATGCTGCATGGCTTGAGGCAAGTCAACCAGATCCAAGGACCGAGCACCTTATCGAGACTATGCTGGAGCCTTCATGGCCGAAAGGTTTTGTGCCGACGCACGAGTCTCTCGTCAACATATTTGTGACTACGCCGCAACGTCTGCAAGACCATTTGGAGGAAACGCAGGGCTTCACATTGGAGCATTTGACATGGCTTGTACTCGATGAAGCTGATCGCATGCTTGACAACCAGCACCGCAGTTTCCTCGAACTGCTCAACCGCGAGACTAGTCGGGAGCTGCACGTCTTCAGAGATTACTCAGGGAAGGAGCCTCTAGCTGCTCGGCCACCGAGACTACGAAAAGTTGTTCTGTCCGCAACGATACCTTCCGATGTCAAAGTGGAGTATGCATTCCAGCTTCGATTCCCCAAGTTAGTCATCGAGCGTGCAGCGGAAACACAAGCCGACTCTGGTGCGGAGGCATACCCGAAACGAGCGAATGCTAGCGGAGACGTGCAAATTACTGGAGAGCAACTCGAGCTGCCGCAAAATCTTGGAGAATTCGTTGTGCCCGTTGGAGACGGTAGCGAGAAGCCGCTGGTTGCTATCGAGCTGCTCAAGTCAAGGATATTGAAGGACATCCCAACTAACCTTGGGCAAGCAAAGAACAAGGCCACTGACGCCGTCGACCCTGATGATGCTTCCTCTGATTCTGACAGCGATGACACCGATGATATCTCGTCGGTCAGCTCTAGCGCCTCAGACAGCACGTTGGAGTCAGACTCCGATAGCGACTCCTCTTCAGGTGATGAGCCTACAGAAACGCGGACCAAGAAAACGCCGAAAGAGACCGATTTGTCTATACAAGGAGCTTCGATCACAACGCCTTCAAAGTCCTCTGCTCCCACAGTCCTCATCTTCACATCCAGCACCGAATCTGCCAACCGACTCACCCACCTTCTCAAGGCCCTCGTTCCGTCTTGGAAACCCTACATCACCACCATTCTCAAACGCCAACCTCGCCACACCAAACTGAAACCCAGCGATCCCGCTCTCATCATCTCCACCGATCGCGCCGGCCGTGGCTTAGATGGCTTTATGGGCAGAATGTTCACTCATGTCATTCAATATGATGTTCCTCGCAGCTTGACAGACTATGTCCATCGTGTTGGACGTACCGCGAGGGCGGGGAGAAGTGGTGAAGCATGGACTTTGCTTACGCATAAGCAGGCGGGCTGGTTCAAGGAGGAGATTGTGAGGAGTGAAGTTTTGGTGAGAAGTGTTGGCGTCGAGGAGGTGAAGATGGCGAGAGCGGACGAGGGAGTCCGAGAGGCGTATCAGCAGGCTTTGGAGAGCATGAGAGAGGCTGTCGAAGGCGGCCAAGGGAGGAAGTGAGATGTTCGATAAGTCGAAGACCGTGAACGACTTTGAAACAAAAGTGCAGTTTCGCTAACTTTCGTGTACAAAAGTCTAGATCCCATTGTGGGAGAAGCTGGTAAAGACGCTAAAAATAGCAGCGTATTTCGAGGCTGTATCATCCCTACACACGACTGTTGTACATTCTTGCTCCTAACTTTCACTTTCCTTCAATCTACTGTCAAATTCCAGTCAATGTTTCAGTTCCATCGCTACATCAAAAATCATAAATGTTAGTGTATCGTCCTCATTGTCTTCAGTCTCTCGAGAGCGAAGTTGTACTTACCGCATTGAAAGAGTAAGTCCAAGACTGCTTGCACTCATACTTATCATTCCCGCTCCAAGTCGTACTGATACTACCATATTTATCACCATTCAAGTACGTGCTGAACAAGGAACAGTACGTTCCGAATGGCCAGCCGTTTTTGTGGATGTATTGTCTACCAGAACACATTAGATCAGCACACAAAAAACTCCTGTGGCGGTAGGTGGAGTAGTGATGGGACTTACGCATTAAACATCTGACACTGACTCTTCCCCGCCTGAGCATTAATCGCATTCTGGAAAAGGGCATAGTTGCTGCAGACTTGAGGGTTGAATGGTCCGGGGAAGAACTTTCCGCCCATGTGGTATTTGGGGGCATTGATGCCTTTGCTGTGGCAGTTCTCGGGTGGGTTCCAGCAGTTTGAGCCTGGTGGGGGTTGGTTGGTTGGTGGTGGGGAGGGGCCGTTCTTTGGTGGGGGTGGTGATGGGCCGTTCTTTGGTGGTGGAGGAGGAGGACCGTTGTTGCCAGGGCCCTTTCCAGGACCGGCGGGTCCGTTTCCTGGAGGCAGTGGGCCATTGCCTGGTCCTTTGCCGGGACCAGCAGGGCCGTTTCCTGGTGGAGGTGGTGGATTGTTGCCAGGGCCAGATGGTCCGCCGCTAGGACCGGTTGGAGTGGAAGATGGGATGTTGCTAGAGCTGCTTGGAGTTGAGGATGGACCGCCGGAGCTTGGAGCTGTACAAGTTGGTGGGACAGTCACATTGGTCTTGTCGTAGCCTTGATTGTAAATTGCCATGTCAGTACGGCTGGGATTTAAGGTAGGAGTTGACGAAGATCTCACCATTACTAGCAGTGATGACGATCTGGAACTGCTCACGCGGCTGGCCGGTGTTGGTGGCCATCGAGGAGTCAATGTTTGAACCGAAGAGAGCGCAACGGAAAGAAGTCATGGAAGGAGGGTTACTACAATCTGTTAGCCCCTCATTGTTCGACGAAGTCAAGACGAGAATGCTTACGGGCAGTCCTGTCCCCATACTGTGGGATATCCAGGATCATAAGTAGAATCATTGTTGGTAGGGTTCAAAGATGGGTCGCGTTCAGCAAAGATATTCTGAATATTGGTTAGTCGAAACATCCAAATTCATGAAAGGCCTATGCTTACGAAAGCAGTGCAAAGATCTGTCTGGTCGCAAATCAAAGCGCACTTTGCAGCGTCATAGCTCTTCAAGCTGTAGAGCCGAAGGTACGAGCTGCCTTGGACAGAAGCATTCAAGTCCTTGAAGACCTGCTTGTATTGTGTGTTGTTTGCCGAAGCAATGGTGGTAGGAGCAGCATTGGCAGCTGAGTGGAGGGCAGTATAAGCAAGGAACGCTGATGGAGTATCTGGAGATGGCACAGGACCGTATCCATCCGGCTGAGGAGCGCAAGGGTCAAGTGGATTGATGAAGCCGCAGTATGTACCGGCTTCTGGCTGTGTGACGCAAGGCTGGCCAGCTGTAGTGGTCTTGGAGGCGGCCAAGGCTGGGTCGGTCGTGTAGTGTGTCGCCAAAGCAGGGTAGTAGGGAGTGTAGCTGTTATCCTGGTATTCGCGTTTGTTGACTTGGCCGGTAGCTTGGGCTGTGGCTACTCCAGAGACAGCTACACTGGTGTAGAGAGTGGCAGTGCCTGAGCCTTCTGCTTGTGCTACTGAGTCCGGGCCTGAAGGTGCTGGAGTAGCAGCGGCAAGCTGTGCAACATCGAGTTGGGGAACTGGTGCAGGGCTAGCAGAGACAACTGCTGCCAGCGCCGCGCAGGCGATGACTGCTCGCTGCATGTCTGTGGACGATTGAAGTGTCGATCAAATGAGTAATACAATAAGTCCGATGTAAAATGAAGGTGAAAGAGTGACGCCCGAGTAGAGCTGATAGCAGTCTCAATGAAAGTGACGATGTCCTCGATGGAGATGGGCTCTTCTCTCCTGCGGCCTACCGGCTCTCTTATATCTCACAGACGAGTTGTGACTCCAGGTCTCGACCACGATCTACTTCGCAAGCTTTCAGCGATAACACTACTGGGCCCCTGCGAACGTCCTTGCAGTGGCGTCGTTCATTGCAAGCACGCGGATGAATGGTGATACTAGGCTGTGGAGTCGGCCCCATGGCAAATACCGTAAGTTCAAACCATGCGAGGCGGATTCGTCATAGTGGAATGCCATTTCAAGACATGAGGTTCCAAAAGGGGAATGAAGTGGGAACTCGTGTAGACAAAAGAGCAATAGCGCCATCTTCAGGGCCGACTCGGCTTCGTGGTTCGGTGCTGTTTTGAAATATCAAGGCCTGCCCACGTTGCTTGCGCGTCACAACGTGAGCCGTTGTAGCTAGCGCGGTGCTCGACTCGCACCTGTTCCTGCATAAGCTGTAGCATATCGTGGATAAGGTGAGACATCGCCGGCTGGCCGGTGCTGGTGAGCCAGCTCTCCACAACAATTGCTCGGATTCGCGGACCCAAACGGATCTGGAGTGCCGATTGCCATGCAGTTCGCAGAGCAGAGTCAGTCGGCGTGTTCCGGGGCCTCACCCGATCACTAGATCTCGGAAATCTCATGATCGTCAGGTACGAAGCTTGCTTCCCACGTGGCGCACACTATTTGCGGTAGTACCGAAATGCTATTTTTTGTAACAACACCTTCGTTCGCGACGCAGGTCAGAGTATTATGCGTGATGGTTCTGTCGGTCCGGTATTGAAGTGTCGGAAGGCCGTCGAGCGCAACCATATCGATTCCACTGTCCTGGGCATCTCTTCTGTTGGAAGTGCTGCTCCCAAGCCCAGCTGAAGTCAGTTCCCAGTGGGTCCAGACTGACGTCGCGCGCTCAGTCGGTCGCTTTGTGAACCGTGGGTCATTTGGTGGACATTTTCGTACAAAGTATCGTCCCTCATGCTGCTCGTGGCGTCTATACGAAGCACTGGCACGAGGCTTGTCTCAGGAGTCAAGCATTCAAGATCTTGCCATAAGCTTTGTCGATGGTCCGAGTGAGACAGCTTGAAATTCTTGGTGTTCAGCCCCTGCGCCTTAAGCCAAAGATTTGAGGTCTCGACACCGACAAATTGGAATCCCCGATTCCGGTGCCGGTCTGTGGTTTGGTACTCGGCACTCAGGTATCGTTCATGACGTCCGCAGGGAAGACGCCGGCGTACGGTACCAATTTTTGCATCCTTTCGTGTGGGTATTCAGGCAAGCATGAATCGCGCTGTCGCGACACCCCATATCTTTATGAAGTACCCCTGAGATCCCGTGCCGATACCTGCATGACCCACTCAGGTTCTTATGCCTAGACTGCAAGGAGCGCGTCTGAGCAGCAGCAGCAGCATTTGATGGCAAAGGTGGGTGAAGGTGTGGAATCGGTGCAGTCCTTCCCTGTGATCTTGTTGCTCACCTCAACTCCCACTCCCAACAGGCTCCCTCACCGGTAAGCTCGTGAACCCACAGACCTTCTTTCTCTCTGATAGCGCGGCTCCATCCACATACACCACCGCCTGCTGATCTTGCTCCAAATCCACATCAACCTCCCCCCACGCAATCGGCTTTTCCTCCAAGCCTTCATCCCCTCTCATTGCGATACATGCTTGTTGAATCTTCCTCGAATCCGACCCGACGAAAGGCATAGACCCCATCTTCAATTTCCTTTGCCCAAAACCAATCGCAACCAGAATCATCAAAGATCCTAAAATGATGACGATAAGAATAGGAAGACAAGAAAACGCGACGCGACTTTGTTCCTGACCAGGAGGATCGATGGCGACACCTTCACGGTACACGACGATCCGGGAGAGGAAGAAAGATTGCGAAATGAGCCAGTGGAGAGTTGTGCTTGCGATGAGGAGGAGGATACTGTAGCGGAGAGGCAGCTGAAGGTAGTACGTCGATCGCTGTTGCCCGGTTGGTCTCGATACACGAAGAGGCTTGTATCGGAGGTAATAGCTACTCCATTCGGCTCCTAGAAGCATGGAGGTGAAGAGACCGTTGTAGGCCATGTAAAGGATACTGCAGATCAATTGTGGTACATTGGCTAGGATGATGCAGCCAATGAGACCTTTGAAGCCGCGTTGTGCAGGCCCAGCGCCGATGATAGAGCTGGGATTCAGTGTGCCGAAGCCACTCGTCGCCAGCGAGGGCCTGGTTGAGCTATTGATGCCTGTCCAAGTAAGGCCTTTGTGGAGGTAGATTGATGCCGTGATTATGCCGCCGAGGCAGAGTGGGATGGTGAAGTACCAATGCAAGGGTGAAGTATGCCTCCATCGGAGTATCTTCTTCGAGATCTTGCGTCCCTCGCGCTTGGTCCCTGTCGTAGTAGATGTTTTCAAGAAGCTGGCAATCGCATCACCGATGGTGACCAGTATTGCCTCTCGGTGCAGAAACAACGTAAAGAGCATTACGACGCTCTTTGCAGCGTTACACGCAATGGCCACGAACAGAACTTGGACCGTGAACTGCAGCTCACATTTCGGCTCGTTGATCCTGGCGAGGCAGTAGTCAATGATGCGATTGTTTGCGCTCCATCGATCTGGATGAGCCCGAATCCATTCTTCGTTTCCACCCGGAAAGACCCAATCCAGAGACGTTTCTCGGCGCCGATCAATCCAGCCTTTTGGCCATCTGTCATGGTCGATGGTACCCCACCATAGAAATGTCCTGTTGTCTTGCTCGGGGGACGGACTTGTGATGAGCAGGATATCAGCATAACCGCTGATATAGTGCTGTCCATACTTTGCCATACAATCTGCGTTGTCGAATCTTTGCACCGCACTACCGTTGCGGAAGTTTTCGCTGAACCACTTCTGTTTCTCCCGTAGGTAATCGTAGGATGGACCATAGTCCCGTATCATCTCATTCACCCACGGGTAGTATCGACCGCTCGAGTTGTAGGTATATAATCTTCCGTCGGGACCTCCATCATCAGAGAGTAGATTAGTGGCGGTGAAAGGCGCGCCGTTCAACCAGTTCTCCTCGGCCAGAAAGATGTCTAATGATGTGGTAAGCTGCAGGAGACTGCTTTTGAAAAGCGATGACTTACCATAGACGTTATTGTCAATCGTCTTGAAGATAGCAGAGTTGTACAGCAGGTGAATTGGGAGGCTTGTAAGAGCCAGTATCCAAATGGCGCAGGTCCGCCATGCCGAGACTTTGCCCATAATGTTGCTCAAACTCAGCAGGCCAATGTCGACTGACTCGTTGTTCGCGTGGGCTTTGTCGATTTCAGCTCGTGTTGGAGCTGCCAATGATTGCATGGTGTAGTTCGACGCCGAAAGCATCGCGGAGCTCAAGACGTTGATGATAACGTGGAGACCAGTAGACCAGGCATTTACGGAGTTGCATGAACCTTGAAAGATTGTGCCAATGCCCGCCATCATACTGCCCGCGAATTGCTGGAAGGCGAATACGGTGAGAATTATGTTGGTGATGAGTACAGCGCAGCACAAGGCTGTGGACGCAGCGACGCCCGCCTTCCAGGTCTTCCATCGAGAAGGTGGCAACGCCTTTGGCGCATCATCTTCGTGTGCTGCTCGTAGGTCACTTTCATGCACGTGTACTTCCTCTTTGGCAGGCACCGCAGTGTAAGTGAAGGCAGAAGCCATGCTGCATGTCTGAGCATGGGCTCTGGCGGAGGTGAGACCGCCTTAAAAATGCAAGCGCAATGGAGAGGACGGGTCTGGGTACTGACCACAGCCAGGCTGGGCAGCCAAGACGAGGCTTGTATCGCTTGCCATGCGAAGGATTGAGGCGCATGCATGCTTTGGTGTATATTTAGACGATTGAGACCCTTTCTGCTGTGATCGGCCTTCTCTTGGGGTACGGTATTGCTTGTCCGCTGTGATAGCAAGCAAGGACGTGACGATTCTTGCCTAAGTGAATGACCATACACAGCGATGTAGGCCAAAGACTTGCAGCTTTGGGGCTTGTTCGGCGATTGCAGGTGGTAGTGGAGGATGTTGTAGTTGAGAGAAGGAGGAAAGAGAAGGGGTCGGCGAGGCAGCTACTCGATTCAATATATTGACGAGAGTTTGAAGGATGATGCATCAATGAGAGCGGCACCAATTCCGCCGAGCGGCCGGACTTCGTCACTTGCCTCGACAACTTTTGTTCAGCAACCACTACCAACCACCATCATGATACTACCGACCGGCGCTGCATGTCTGTAGCAGCAAAACTTCGACATCTCCTACGACGAGCCGGCTCTCGATCGTCAATCTCCACCTCACTCACACCACACCGCTCCGCCGCCACAATGGCTCCCGCAAAACTTGAAGGCCGCGCCTTTTACGAGTCTATCGGCTCTCCGAAATATGTCGTCGCACCCATGGTCGATCAGTCCGAGTTCGCATGGCGACTGCTCACTCGCTCCTTCCTTCCACCAGAGCTGCGATCCAGCATCCTCTGCTACACACCCATGTTCCATGCGAAGCTGTTCTCCGATAATCCAAAATACCGAGCGAATCACTTTGAGCCTCTAAAGCCGCCTATCACCATGGCCGATCCTCCAGACGCAGAGCACCTAAAGACAATGGGCGAAGAGGACAAGTACTTGGACGGCAATCCGAAGATAGATCGACCTCTCTTCGTCCAATTCTGTGCCAATGATCCAGACCTTTTCTTGAAAGCTGCACAGATGGTGGCTCCTTATTGCGATGCTGTGGACTTGAACCTGGGATGTCCGCAGGGCATCGCAAAGAGGGGAAACTACGGCGCATTTCTGCAAGAGGATTGGGACACCATTTACAAGTTGATCAACAATCTGCACAAGAATTTGGATATTCCGGTGACAGCCAAATTTAGGGTTCAAGAGACGAAAGAGAAGACATTGGAGTATGCGAAGATGATTCTCTCCGCGGGCGCGAGTATCATAACAGTGCACGGACGACAGCGACATCAGAAAGGGCATGAGACAGGGCTGGCAGATTGGTCTGTGATTCGATATCTGCGAGAAGAGCTCCCGAAAGAGACCGTGATTTTTGCAAATGGCAACATCCTGCAGCATGGAGACATTGAAGAGTGCCTCGATGCGACAGGCGCAGACGCAGTGATGAGCGCTGAAGGCAATTTGTACGATCCGAGCATCTTTGGTACTGCACCACCAGTTGGGGAAGAAGGACGAGAATACTGGCGAGGGCGGGATGGCAAGGGCGGCTACAGAGCAGACGCTATCTTGAGACGTTATCTGGACATTATACACAAGTACGTCCTCCACCAGGATCCACCTCAGCGTGAGGAGCTATTTCTGCTCTCAGATTCGCAGCCTGAGACCAATGGGAACGCGAATGGTCTCAAGAGAGGCGCCGAGGACGATGTCGAAGGACAAGCGCCTACAAAGAAACAGAAGCGTGAGGCCGTCAAGGAAAAGAAGAAGAATGGAGTGAAGCATGTGAAGTGCACGAACCCGAATCTCTCTGCTATGCAGCCACATTGCTTTCACATTTTGCGATCACTGGTGGGTACACATCACGATGTTCGGGATGCTTTGGCTCGATCGAAGGCTGGCGATATCGACGCATATGAAAATGTATTGAAGTTAACTCAAGCTGCTGTCAAGGAGGGACTTCTGGAGTACGAGAAGGACCCGGCGAAGTTTGGAACTCCAGACATTGCAGACGAAGAGGACGCAGACCCTGCGCTATCGAGTACTGCAGCTGTCCGGCGATGTAAGCGCCCATTTTGGGTGTGCCAGCCATATGTGCGGCCTCTACCCAAGGAGGCTCTGGAAAAAGGCAGCCTGCAGCTAAGTAAAAAGGAGATGGCGCGACTGGCTGCGGAGAAGGCCGAAAAGGAGAAGGCTGGGGTGTCGGCTGATGGCCATGTCGAAATTGTGAAGACTGCCGTGGCAGAGAGCTCGACGAATGGCGCTGCATCGAAACAGGAGATGAGCGCTAGGGGACATGCGAACGCGAATGGAACTGTCACGAAGACCGACGCCGGCGATTCGACAGAAGCGACATCTGCCGTGGAAGAGCGGACTGAGATACCCAAAGAAGGTATGGTCATGGGCTGAGATCAGATGCAATGAAGACATCTTGCACGGAAAGAGGTATTGTGCACCAACGCTTCTCTTCTTCTCAACTTCGATTGCACCATCTCATTCTGCTATTTGCCCATACTCAAACTTTTGAGTACATTATTCTGATGCAGGCCCTCGCTCGATCAGAGCTCGATTGCAACGTGCGATGGCCGCTGACCTCGCGGCATGGCCCACGAAGATTGAGATCTCATGTCGAACAAGATGCGGCTTCTTCGACCGCTTGACGAATGCCGTGCATGCTACACCAGCAGCCTCAGAATGGAGAGCGGGTGTTCAGCTTGAGGGCGCTGTGAACATTCCTTCAAAGCTTAGTCGTACGGTCTGGGACGGTCTTGAAAGCTTGCTCAGCGTGCCAATAGAGCCCAACTTGAGAGACGACTGAGGCCAAAGCAGCTGAAACATACAGCTCGCAACGAAGTTGACGCGTGAAGATTTCCCATCTGGCCCTTCGGCATATCTGTGGCTCGGGGGCTCGTCAGCCAGTCAGCATCACTATCACTTGGCCTTATGCAAAGCTATACTCTATCGGGAAATCGCTCATGGAATATGTCTTGCCTATGCGACGCGAGTACGGACGACACGCGCTATTGCGCTATAGTAACGATTTCGATTTGCTATGCTCGGCGCTAGATCGCAGCACGCCCAGCGACTACTGCAGCACGATGGGCGGTATGTTGTGCCACACGTCTGCTGCTTGAATATAAGAGCGGTGGTAAATCCGCTCGACTCAAGAGATACTACTGCAGTCCCATTTTATCAATCACGATACAAATCATCAACATGAAATGCTTCTCTGCCCTTGCTGCCGCCAGCCTTCTCGGCTTGGCCACCGCAGTCGACATGTCAGGTTACGTCGCTGGTGAAGGTGTCGATGCCGAGTTCAAGAACTACCTCGATGTGTACGCTCGACACTACACACATCTTTCTTTCTCAGACTGATCATTCAACTCTCTCACCAATAGTCTCTATTACGAAGCCGAACTCTCCACCGCCACAACCGGTTTCACCGACTTCTTCATCCCCAATGGCAAACTCATCGTCCGCGGTAGAACTGCCACCGGTTCTGCCGATATCTTGGCGTTCAAGCAACAACTCATGCCACCGAATGGAAACAAGCACTGGAACCATCTTCCAAATATCACGACTGTTGTTGAGGATTCTGCGGAGAGGAAGACGTTCCATGTGCTGGGTTTGATCGATACGACGTATGATGGAGGGAATTGCAGTAGGGCTTAGTAAGTTTCCTGATTTGTCTTGAGCTGTTTCAGATGACGTGAGGGAGAATTTCTTGGCTGATGGCGATGGTGATACAGTTATGTTAGTGAATTCCCGATTCAGAAGAGGGCGGATGGGACGATTGATTTCACGCCTAAGAAGGGGAATTTGATTGAGTATAATGATATTGATATCAATCCTTTGGTGTCGCCGACGGATATTCCGTGCGAGTGATGCAGGAACGTGGGGTCGAATTGCTTGTAGAGTGATGTTCAACAGCGGCGTGAATGCGGCGGAATGATGATCGCATTACGAGGCGGTGTTGCGAGAGAATCAGATCCATCAAGCGTTACGAAGTGAGACCCAGCGAGCTGTCTAGGCGAATACGAATGCAAGTCAGAGACATGCTGGAGGTCTCTCAAAAAACTTTGTATATGGTAACTGAGCAACCGATCTGATGTGAAGCTGTAAGTCAAGCGAGTCGACCAGCGAATGATCGCAGGTCAAATCATCCGACACATCCCTTTCTCATGAACTTCGACATTTGACTCGAGCTTTGCAAGCATGCCAATTGCCAAAACCCAGACATGTTCTTGCATGTTTATTGCAAGCTAAATTGCTCTCATCCACCTAGAATGGCTTTGGTGGCGGCTCCGCATGCCCGTATGGCGGACTTGGTGGCACCCCTAGCCCGCTATATATTTGACTGAAAGGTCTTGTGGGCTTCACTTGCTCGACGGGTTCCGTATGTACGATGACGTTCTACCATATCGAAAACACGTTAGCTTGGATGGGACTGATGAAGTTGCCAAGAACTTGCCTCTTTATCATCAATGATGAACGTCTCACTCCCATCTCGCTCATCCTCCATCAAAGTCTCGCCTCGGGTAAAATCGTTCATACGAGAGTACCTCTTCGGCCGTCCGTTTCTGCTTCTCTCGAGATTGGAGAGTTCCGCTGACTCGCTTCCTGGTTGCCCAGTAATCTTGGATCGGCCAGTCCCGTAGCTTGTCTCGCCGATCAATCGAGGCCAGGTGTGCTTTAAAAAGAGTCGCAGAATGGGCAAGGAGCCACAAATGATCACGAGGTTAGCTTCGATACAAATCCAGGAAGAAGGCGTTGTTAGTGCCCAGGGCATGTCAAGATTGGCGATGAGAGGCGGCATGAGCACGAGGCGAACGATGCTTGTCGCTGCTGTGCTATAAAGTAGTGAGCTTGGTGGATACTGGTGGCCCTGGCGAGTCACCGTGTGACTTACATTGAGCCGACACTGAAGATCACTACCAGGCCAATCTTCTGTACTCGTGGGACTTGTAACTTGAAGACGATAGGCATGGGAAGAAACTGCGATGCTTGATCAGTCACTCGTCAATTTTTCTGATCAAACCTAGGCAACCGACCAGCATGATTATGTCTGTCGCTGCGTTCAGTCCAGCGGTGGCCATAAACACATTTCCACGATTGATGCAATGGCCTTCGGTAATTGTCGGGTCCCACACGCGCTTGAGTGGAATGCATGCGAATGCCAAACACAGCATCAGGACGAGGCTGAATGTTGCAGTCAGGGCCATTGTAGCGTAGACCGCATACTTGAACCATCTCTGTGGTGAAAGTCGCATATAGAATATCAGAATTGAAAACTTTGCGAACGCCATGAATGCGAGGTAGACGATGCTGATGGCTGTGGTGATGAGCACGACATGCTTCAAGTCACTAGCGAAACGTTAGTCCCTTCTGAAGGTCGGCAGATGGCATAGGATGAGACGCCTACGCCAGAGAGATGTCCCAGATGTGCACTCCTGTGAGACCGGCAGCCTTCAAGTAGAGGATGAAAATCTGAACTACTAATGACATAGCCTACGATCTATGTCAGCATTTGATTACTATTCGTCACGACGGATAGCCATGTACCCATGCGAAGAGTAGAAACACATCATCGATACCGAATATCCTGGCCAGCACTGCTTTTGTGTAGATGCGCATAGTCAGCAACATTGTTGCTATGCACATGCCGAATATTGCAAGTACGAATGTTGGCGCATGGTTTCTGATGTGAGGATTTTGCAGGTTCGAAACCATTCCAGGTGGAGCCTCTGCCGCTGGCGTGTGAGCAAGATTGAGAGTCGACATTCTCGCGTGAGCATCGCCTTCCTGACTGCGCAGAGTAGAACGTTGTCCTGTCGAAGCCCAGAATTGCGGCGTAGCTTTGTGCGACAGCGGTTAGAGGAAGGTGTTTGTCAGTTCGATGATCTCTACTGTACGAGGGGACCAGATGAAGAAATGTAGGTGCCGGCGGCCAAGCTAGGATACGAATGCCCTCCTTGATCATGGTTGTGGCCTGGCGAGAGCTTCGAAGATCTCGACTTTAACTTTTCGCAATCCTTGCGCATTGCGGGTTTCGCTCCTCCGTCTTGGTGCGCAATGCCGTCGAAAAGCTGTAGCGATGCCTTGGAAAGACCCCAAAAAGCAGGTGTCTCGATTGCGTCGGCACACGTGTGTGGGTTGCCTTGCCATGTAGTCGATGGTTGAATATGAACGTCTTAGCCCTTGTCGATATACCCACGTAGAACGGCGGGAAGCGCGTTGGTTGACACATTGGGTAGAATGGGTCACCCATGGCATTACGCAGGAACAATAGTCTATCGACAGTACCCTGTGAAGCGCGAAGCTGTGGGTCGAAGTGAGGATTACTACGCAAGGTAGAGAGCTACAGCGTCATCTGGAATGAACAGCAAGTCTCCATTGGTCATCGGATTTGGCAGATGTATGGCTTCCAGTTTCTGGTTGAGGACATTCGTCTACTTCACTGCTGATCATTCTGGTATTGAGATAAAGGGATCTGTCCATGTTGCATGACCATAGATCCCTGTTGGCATGGTGGCCGCTCGTTGGAAATGTGGTTGGTGTGCGGAACGAGCAAAGCCCTAGGTCGATTTGGCGGTCACCATCTGGTAAACTTCCATCTCTGCGCCGAGATGCGACTGGAATCTGGAATGTCGACAACAAGTCTTTGAACATTGGCAACACCGAGCACAGCTTCTGGAGAGCACTGTGGCTTTGGTCAACCGCCAGCATCTCCTGTGCAGTCGGAAAGACGAGAATGAGACTCTTTGTGAGGCTAGGTTTTGTGCGGGTTGCTAGTCAAGGATTGCTTGCTCAAAGATCTGCAGGTTGATGTTGTTTACCCGAAAGCTTGACCTCCTATTGATTCGGACACTTGGGTAGCTGCCAGTGAAGAATCCCGCAGGAGCACAGGAACGTAGTCATCCACACTGCAATATACGCAACGATTAATGTTTGTGCCCGATCGATTATACTTGATGGTAAGCCAGAGTCTACAACTGCTCGAACCCACCGTTCGAGAGTTCTGAGCCCAGACGCTCATGGTCCCATGTCGAGTTAAGCTTGGAGCACTTCACAACAGTGTGCCAGGATCAATGAGCGCAGGAGATTGGAGCAAACGTGATTAGAGATGAGCAGAGCCCTTCACGTGATGTAGCACCAGCGCAGTTGAGACCGAGCGTAACACCAAATCGTTTTCCGCGCCAATGTTTCTCGTATTTCATGCTTCGTGGTAGGAGAATTCGATCTCTGATCGAGCTGCGTCAAGTCTAGGGCGATGTTATCTTCAAGCGGCCCTTTGTATCCAAATCCTTGCGTTTACCAACAAGCTTCGGCTGACAGAAAGCTAATCCTTTTGTGATGGGACGGCTCGCTCCTGAACTTGAAATGGACGTTGACAGAGCTTTTCAGTCCACCAACTGTGTACAGGACACACACACACAAGCAGAAAGGGAGATCAAGCCTGAATGAAGTCGGAATGTTGGTGGTCGATCTCGATTTGCATTTCGTTGACCTGTTCTTTCGAAGCACATGAAATAGGGCGCGTCGCAGTTGATCCCCGTGTGCCGCACGAGTTCAACATGGCAAGTTCAAGAGACAGATTGAGCTTTGACTCATGATCTGGCCACCCCTGTTCTCCCGTAGGAAGAATTGTTCGAAGACACCAAGTGGTACGAGCGAAAATCGGTCACAGCAATATCGCAGTCCACGACCGCACCGCTGGTGAATGGGCTCTTCCAGCTCACGTGTCCGGAACCGCGAAATGTCCTGAAAGCGTTCTTCGAGCTTTCATGAGAGGCTTGGGGTGGCATCGAAGCATTTACCACCCGTGTTTCTTCGAAAATTCAAGTGCATCTTGGCAATGTCGAGAGGGTCCGCTCAGGCTTTGACGTCCAAGAAGCTGTCGGTGCTGATGCCGCTACGCAAATCGAGGCCTCAAAAGCTATGTAGGTCGTAGTGCTTGATGGATCCAGTTGGAAGCCAGGCAGGAATTGGGGCGCACAGCAGGATTCGATGAGGTCGGCTGACGAAGCAACTCCATGTCTTGGCAATGGTCTTTCCCCTCATCCAATCCTTATGATATCGAAGCATTTGCCAATTTCATCCTTTTTGCAACGGCTGGAGCTCACGAATGTCATTGTTTGGGCCGACTCGGCACGCTTGAGTCAGTGATCACTAGAGAAGCAGAGTCGAATCGCAGGAAGGATGTCATTGTCATTTTCCTCTGTAAGACCTGCCGAGCTTAAGCTAGCTTCAGCTGAACGGAGCACATGCTCCTCGGCTCCTTCAGCGGAGTAGTTGCAAGCGGAGCGCGCAGAAAATTATAGGTATGTGGATCTGAAGAGGTCAATAATATCTTCGACGGCTTCAGGCAGCCTCGAACTTTGCCTGGTTCGTTGAATTCCATAAGGGCAACTGGAACAGTATAAATTGTCAAGAACTAGCTCTCGCGTTCTCCAGCATCAAGGTCCGAACATGCCTCCAAACAGCGAGTTCACACGAAGCGAAGCTATTCCCGGTGATACGACGCCGGACCTTTCCTGCCTCAGAGGGAAGAGCGTCATCCTGACAGGCGGAGGTTCTGGCATCGGCGAGCAATACATGCGCCACTTCGTGGCAGCTGGCGCTTTTGTCACCTTCAGCGATATCGTTGAGGACCGAGCACAGAAGCTAGTGAGCGAGCTTGGTTCGGAGAATGTGGCTTTCGTGCCTGGCAACGTACTGGTATGGCAAGACCAAGTCAAACTTTTCAAGGCGGCTCTCGAAAGGTCACCAAGCAAGACCATCGACATCGTTATTGCCAACGCTGGCATCGGTCTTCTCGATGACTCCCTCATACACACCGAAGATTCCAATGGCGATCCAGTTGAGCCCGAGCTCACTACCCTCAAAGTCAACATCATTGGTGTATTTTACACCGTCAAGCTGGCCATGTACTACTTCCCGAAGCAGCCTGAGGGTGAAGATCGGGACCGATGCATTATTATGACTGCCAGTCTTTCTGGGTACCTTGACCATGCGGACGCGCCTCAGTACAATGCTTCTAAGCATGGCGTTCGGGCAATCATGAAAAGCATTCGTCGGACTGGACCGGCACAAAACATCAGAATCAATCTGATTGCGCCTTGGTAGGAAACAATGCTGTTGTTCCATCAATCTCACGATCTAACTTGACGCAGGTTCATACAGACGAGCCTCGCCCCGCAGCAGTTCTGGGACGCAGTCAGAGCTACTGGTGCGGAGTTCTGTGACATCAAAGATGCCGGCAAAGCTGCAACTCATCTAGCTTCGGACAAGCGCATCAATGGTAAATGCTTTCCCTTTCTGGGCACGCAAATTGTGCTAACAGAAGTAGGACGAGCGCTGGGAATTGTTCCCAAATCATTCCAACAACGTGGATATTTTGATCTCGAAGTGGACGACTGGAATGACGAGAATTATATGACAGCGTATCAGAAAGGTTTAGTGGGGAGAAACGCTGCATCGAAGCATGAAGCGGAGCAGAAAGAGCCATCTGCACTCGATGTAACTTCGAATCCTGCTATCGAAGCATAGAACCGCAATTGGAGCGCGAGATGGAGTTTCCTGGTGCTTCTTCGAAATGCCTCGCAATGCCTGGCTATAGCAAAGCCCTCAGTGATAAAGCATTGTCGAAGTGATGAAAGAGACGGGCAGCAGCAAGCTTCTTGCGCCACGGACAAAGGAGTATAAGTTTGCTGCTTCGATCACAGATGATAAAACTGTGATGTTGTCACTTTTACCCCCTACAACGAAGATTCTCATCAAAGTTTGTCTGTCACTGGAAGGCAAAATGATGCAACCAGAGCACGAACGTCCCTCTCGATTGAAAAAGCGCGGACATGTCTCTACAGGCGTCGCCGAGGATCTGCAGAGCGACGTGGTTCGTCCTAACGGTGAGTACGTCCCTTGATAAGTGACGAAGTTATGAGTTGTGTCTCTAGTGTGAGAGTCAGCTGACAGCATCGCTATTATAGATCAATTTGTACTTCCAATTCGCACTGCTGTCGCTTCGAACGGTGTCGACCCGGACCCTTCCTCGAGACCGAATGCTCCCGCTCCGTCAACCCAAGGCTCCGACGTGAATCCACTCCTACGCACTACAGACTATCTGCAACATCCAATATACCTGGGTAGCAGGTCAGTGTCTGTCGATGCGGCTGCAAACGTCAATTCAAGTGTTTTCTTGGGATCTCACGCCACGGCCCCAGCACTTGAGCATGCCAGTGTCGACCGACTCCACTGCCCTCCTGCACCCCGGAAACCATCAGCACAATACAAAAGCCGGTCATCGCCTGTGGTTCCGGCTGGCAGTGTGAGTTCGGATAATGTATTGGGATCTTATGCCACCGCTCCAGCACTTCAGGGCTCCAACGTCAACTCACCGCCCCGTCCTCCAGAGCTCCTGGATCCATCAGTTTTCTACCGTAGTGGGTCAGTGTCTGTCGATGGGTCTGGGAACGTCAATTCGAATCTTCCGTTGAGATCGTATCCCGCCACTCCAGCATTCCAAAGCTTCAACATCATTCCGCCCTTCCGCTTTCCGGGACCTCCTCATCCACCAGGAGTTTTCCCTAGCGGGTCAGTCGTTACCGAGGCTGGAACACCAGTAGATGCAGCAGAAACGGCGAACGAAGACGAAACGGAAGATTCTGCTGGAGTGGAAGCAGTTATCAAACTCGTCAAAAAGCTACCCCTCCTGGAACTGGTGTACCTCGCTGAAGTTGTTGAGGTTGAGGTGAAAGCTCGTGGCATTCCTCAACTTGGCAGGGCATCGTACCATTCTAATGATCGCCTGCCGACCAAGTTCGATAAAGCGCGTAGCGGGAGGATGATCGAAGAGGGCAGAAAACTGACTGAGCGCATGGCGGCAGACGATCAACGGTTTGCTGAGATTGGGAAAAAGAGACGAAGAATGGAAGAACAGACAGTTGAAGGAGTGAGAATGCTGCGGGAAGGTCTGTTGAAAATTCAAGCGAATGTACCGACTGAGCAGGGTCACGCGGGATTGTAGCTGTGGGAAACACGTCGTTGGATGTAAAGGTCATTTGAGCCGCCACAGGCTTGGCCACCGTTGACGTCGTATCCTTTTACGAAAGAGTCAATGCAGCATGAAAGGCTCGTGGCATTGTCCGGCTAGTAGGAACTTCCTCCTGACCTTATGATCCCTCTCCAGATTCATTTGACGAAGCGCGCAGCATTGAGGTGGATGGAAGAGATAATAGACCCGAAGAGAAGTCCTGCCAACAGTGTGGCGAAAGGATCTGACAGAAGAAGACTGGCAATGATGATAACAGAACACGAAGGACTGAAATTTAATAGAATAGAAACCGGGTTGTTGACTTGACGGCGATGAGAAGTCGCCTATGTACGTATTGGGAAGTGTCATGCCTACTAATCATAATCGGACAACCCGCGACACTGGTCGCGGCTTATGATTTCTCAGCCTCATCGACCTCAGCAAGACCGGCAAATTAAAAGAGCTGCGTTGGGTGCTCAAGCGCCAACTCTGGCCGACAATTTGCTTATACACGGAGACAGCCGCACGACTCCAGTGACCACATTCTCCATAACAGCTGCGTTGGTGTTGATACTGCCCCTGCCATAATGGCTATTGGTTACCTGGCGGCCCCACAAATGTTCGATCAAAACAGTAGACTTTGTTTTCAGCTTCCTGAGCTCTTCAGGAACGATACTTGCAGTAATTGGACGCTGAGCGAACGAAGAAGGAGCAGTTAAGATTCAACTCGATAAAGCGTTCCAACGACGTTGCCGACTCCGACCTGCAAACACACCTTTACTCGGCCGAGCGGCCCTAGACGAAGAGCATAGCTTGTGTCATGTACGCGAGGGCAAGATCTCTGTTGTGAAGCTGACCAAGACGACCCAAAGCCTCCAGCTTGAGCAATTACACGGCTTCAACCACAAATTTTCGTTTCGCAATCTTTCTTCGAATTGCCTCGCCACACCTGGCTTGGGCCAATCACTTTGAAGACATCAAGGCATGTTGCAAACATTGAAAGAGATATGCGGCAACAAACTCTTTGCTACAGTTTAGCCCTCGACAAAGAAGCATATGTTTGCCAATGAAGGCTCATCTTGACATATACGACTGCGCGACTTCGTGCCCGATACTGAACGTACCGTCGGAGGAAGAAAATCGGCGAACACGAGCATCATGACTGGCGCACGGCACGTCCATCGCAAGCGGAGTGCTACAAACAGTGCACAGCCATCGGCGGCTGCAGATGCTGCCGCCCTAGCAGCTGACCCGACGGCTCTATCTAATCACATCAATGTTGCGTTCCAATAGCGGCACTACCCTTCATTTCGCACTCTCGAAGAGAAGAGACGGTGCTTGTCGCACGCGACCGCCGAGTTGTACGCTACTCCTGGAGAAGAGGACGCATGGCCATCAGCAGAGAATTCGAATACTCTCGTCTCCAGTGCAACACCAGACACAGAAATGGATGTCGCAGAGGATTCACCCGAGAGTGAGCCACAAGATCGAGAAATGGGCGAAGAAGACGAGGAGGAAGAGGAGGAAGAGCAGATGGAAGAGGAGGAGGAAGATCAAGAGGAAGACGAAGAGGAAGAACAGCCGCAGAGAAAGAAGCAGAAATCACGAGCTCACTCTACTCGTTACGTGAGGCCGGAAACCAGAGTGATGAACGCACTTTTCGTAGCCTTCAGAAAGATGCGGCCAGAAGATCTATACCGTATCTCTCAAGAAGTGGACATCACGATGAAGGGCCGCGGCATGAAACGTACGCCCCGTCGACTTCCCACTGCCGTAATCGATGCGAGGTACACCGAGAATCTGATCGAGCAGTGGGAGGAAGCAGAAGACTATATGGTGAGAATTGAGAACAACTTTACCAAGTTGAAGAGATCTCAAGATGCTAGGATGGAGGGCTTGAAGTTGTTGAAGGAGGGGTTGAAGGAGATTCGAGAGAAGGGAACGAAGGTTGAGCCTGACGACTAGCTCTTGGCGCAAGGGCCGGGAAGACTCGGTATGGTACCAGAAGGGTCTTTAGCTTAGGGGGCATTGCTATTCCTGAGCAAGCAATGTGGCTTAGGGGTTTGATGGTGACGGAAAGAAATTCCGGGCGCCGAAAGGCCTTCAATAGTCTCTCGAAACGATGTCTTTGTCACAGATGTCCTAATCAATTGGAGGAATCTCTGCATGAAAGTTAGGTAAAGGTCGTTTTCCAGAACGTCGACCACCGCGCTTGCCAAAGGCAGGATATCAAACTTTTGTTATCACTGATCCCTTTAGTCCTTCCCCTCTATCATAAACCTCCTCTCGCTTTTCACTCTCGCTTTCGCGAGACAATGTGACCCCATCGATCGGCACAGAATACTTTCCCTGCGTCGGACAATCTTGTCGATAACCAGTCGGTAGAATGAGCTCATCCTCATTGTGGGCCTTTGTACCGTGCCCGATGCCAGGAGGAGGGAGTATCGTGCTCAGGAACCAGAACGTGAGCGAAGATATGAAGAAGCCTAGATGAACAATCAGGTTTCGAACACAGACGCTACAGAGCACTTGCGCACATACCTGTCAAGAAACCCAGACGACTGAGTTTCATAGCCGAATTTGGAGCGCGATCCAAGTCGCTGACGCTGGCTAAAACGACAATTAGCATGTTCTGAAAGGAGTGCTAGTGTCCGTCCTCTTGTACTCACTGACATATCCGGGCATTGCAGGTATGACGCCAATGAGGAAAGCAGCATACGCTCTCCAGTTGAAGCCTTTGTAATACCAGTAGATTGAAGCACTGTTACCACGATACAAATCATCCACTTGAGCCAGGTCAGCGTACAACAGACAAGCGGATTCGCTACTTGACTTACTCTTGATGAGTCTTTTCCGTACGATCCAGAAATCCGTGACCAGGATTCCAGAGCACGGTCCGTAGAAGTTTCCGAAGCTTGGACAGAATCAGCATGTATCAAACACACTAAGAAGCCTGGTACGAACCCGTTGAGGACTGCGATAAACGTTTGCGCATTCACGGTGAGTTGCCAGGGATTTACCGCGATACCAATAGCTGCAATTATGTATGCTCTGTGTTTCAACCGTCAGCGAAGCTCCGCGCATCAATTTCTTCTCAGCGGACGCACCCTCTGCGAATGTTGAGCCATTTCGGAGCCCAGGCCTGCAGGTCCATAGCAACTGCTGTGGAGTTGAGGATCACATTGACGCAGATCTGTGCCCAGGCGCAGCCGGCAGATGCAAAGAATCTGTGCTTCGTTAGCACCGTCTACTGACTGCCATATCTGCTTCACGTACACGCCTGCTCTCGACGATGACGAGTTATTGTGGTATCACTGTATCTCTCTCAACAGGAGATAAGGTTGCCAATAAGTGTCTCCTAGTGCTTGACTTGCAGCCGATGTCGCGATGATGCCAATTGCAACTGCGTATCGTCAGCAGAGTGGCCACAAATGATACGCGCAAATTTCCACACACAGACGGAATAGACACAGATCACCAATGCAATCACCTGGACTGTCATGGATTTGGTGTTGCTGATTCTGGCCAGACGACACCAGTTTGCGTTTCCGAGAGTGACAGTTCCCATGTTCCCCAGCACAGCTGTGGCGCCATAGACGACTGCCCATGCTGCTCTCATCGTCAGCTCTCTGTTGCGAGAGGTGTAGCATTGCTTTCTGTTACCTGTCGAATCTGCCAAAACGGAGTCTGACTTGTAATCATGGGCGAAATATGGACCTGCTGTCCCGTCTGCGTGCTTTACTGCCCAGATCAAGATCCCTGAAGCCACCGTCAGTGGTAATGCATAGAGTTTCGTCGTTGTTAATTTGATATACCAAACACAGTGCATGTGAAACATGCAAACGAGATCAAGAACGGGCGATCGAGCTTCTCTGGTGGGATCCATAAGACGAAAGCATCTAGCCATTAGTCAGCACCTGCCGTAGAGGTCGACTAGACCGACTTACAGAGAACGTTGTAAATGATGACTACAATTTCCTTGAGTCAGCTCATCCACCTAGCCAAAATATAGCACTTTTTGGCAGACTCACATCCAATCAAATCCTGAGACGAATCTTTAGCATCAGCTTCGCACATCCACCCTTCCATTCGACAACCTTCCAAGCCGTACAACTATGACGAGAAGAACTCACCTTCAACTCCATTGTCCCTCCGGCGAGCGGATGCGACCACTCAGCCCAAGAGATCGACATCGTTCCAATACACGTGGAAACAGCCTGTGCTCCCCACCATCCTTCGATTCCATTCCACACAATGCCCGGCAGAACTCGGATCAAGATTGGTAAGTACGTTCCTCGCAGGCCCCAACAGGATCGAGCAGCGACGTTGTAGGTGATGTGATGACTGCCACCCATCCACTGCAACATTAAGACAACGGGTCAGTCATTCATCTGGGGAATTCGTGTCTGGGTTGAGATGAGGAGAGGATAACACATACGCCGCACAAAACAGCCAAAGCCGCCAAAACGATCGGTGAGAAGATCCCCGCACCGAGTGCCTGTTTTCCACTCAATCCAAATGCAATAAGCGCGGAGCCTGTGGAATAATTATAAATGGCGAAACTACCCGTGGACCAGTATGCGATGTAGTCCCAGGTTCCCCATCGTCGACTATTTTTCTTGTAATAAGTATAATTCGTCGTGCTTGCATTTCGTGGAAATTGACAGAGCTTACCGGTCCTCGGTCAAAGGTACGAGATCTACGTGGTCGGCGGTGAGCGTTGTTGTGCTGATGAACGAGCTGGAAAGAAAGGAAAGTAGACGTACCAGGAGAAGTATAATGATCAATCGCATAGGTTCCCGTCTCAGGCTGCGGGACCTGGAATCTCTTGACTCTGCGCCTCAACCCTGATGATAGTGCCATCATGTAGCTGGCAATACGAAACCCAATGCCAGAAGACTCCGTCGTAAAAGCAGACTTTCAAGCTCGCAATGAAAGTATTGGGGCACAAGAAGGTTCATATGCCCACATGGCATCACACGTGGAGCTCCGAACGTGGAACACAAAGACTTAGGGCAAAGATAAAGGACCTGTGGATGTACTGTATCTCTCATCGCGAGAGCCTTTTGATCCTTATCATGTATCTTCGACATCCTTGTCATCCCGGAGACGCGGATCTGGAGCTCTGATTCACCAACGAAAGTCGCTATCTCATTCTGAAACACCGTCGGCCTGCTTACATCCAGAGCGACGGGCGATCAGGCCATGCCATTGTGCGGCGGCCATTGGAAGCGGAAAGCGGGGTGTTGTTGTATCGACTGGGACGGTCGATGAACTGATAGGGCAGTTCACTAAACCCCGGCCTATCTCTCCGCCAAGACTAGGTCGATGCCAGGCTGAGAACCGATACTTGGGGACTTCTATTCCAGGCAGTAGGAAGAAGCATATACCTGCCAGTTATGATGCGACTTCGTCCTTGTGACTTCGGCGCAGGTTCGTCGTATTCTCCGAGTAAGACAGTCCGAGACATTCAAGAACCAGCATCCTCTCCTACCACGCCTCGAGCGATTTAGCATCTCATTCCAGGTTTTGATATCGTATCAAGTTGACTATGATAGCATGCCCGTTGAAAAATTCAGTGCTGTCGTCAGCATAGCCACACATCCTCTCCCTCCTCCGCAATAGTCTCCCAATACCTCCTAAAATGAGCCCCACGAGATAGACCATCTTGCTCTTCAGAAACCCCGATCGTCAAATGATGTAAATACGCAAACCCAATGAAGCGCCAATACTCATCAGGAGATTGATGCCGAATCACAATCGCAAGAGAACAATTTGGAACCATGGCAAGGCAGTCCCCTGGCTGTGAGCCCTTCGGAGTCCAGCCCAAATAGTTGTTATCTGTCACAAAGGCGAGAGCTCCACCTGAACTTCTGACTGCATAATTGAGATAACCGAAATAATGTCGCGAAGGGTTTCCGTCGTCCCATGTAGCAGCGAAGCTTGGAGGAATGGTACTATCGGGCTTGCGTCCTGCGAAACCGTCTAGAGTGCGGCGTTGAAGTTGTGAGATGGCCTCTTGTAGAGAAGAAATTGGCGGAAGCTCGATGACACCTTTGATGTCTGTGTCTGTGTGTATTTGCGTTGACTCCTGGTCGTCCGTGCTGACGGTCCCGGCATCGACGAGGCCTTGCCAAGGTGTTATGCCCAGTCCATAGATCGATGTTGCTCCCATGTAAGTGTCTACTTCAAAGGATACTAGATGGCTAAGTACTGCAAGCCGACTGCATCGAAGGCGAAGATGCTGCAAATCTTGGCTAATAGAACACCACTGTTCGCCAGATGGGCTTGTGAGGGCGGTAGAAGAGTTGTATGCGAAGTTCATATGCAGCAGGTACTCGACTTGTAGATCCAACGCTCCTGGTGTATTCAGCTTCTGCTGAGCGCGAGAATCTGCCGGCTGTTTCGTCAAATTGGCTGCCCATGAAGGCAGCGAAGGTATTGTTGCATGCAACTCCACCCCCGGCTGTCTTGACAATTGCATGACAGACAGTCTGCCGCTGGACACAATGGTGGAGTACGTCGCCTGCGCAAACACCTTCCAGACTGGTGACCCGTAATCGACACTTAATGAATCGAGCTGATCCTTCCGCAGCAGCCCAAGTACTGCATAAAGCTTGTCCCTAGGATCCGAGCAGTCTGTGTTATCAATGATCGACATCACCGACCCGTCATCGAGGGAGCATCCCGAAGACCATCGCTGCTGATCCACCAGTCCTGCTAAGAAGTCCAAGTGGAGCTCCAGAGCGACGACTTCCTCACATTGATTCCAGGAAACAGGTATCCCATCTGCACTATACGATGCCAAAGACCAGACAGGGCGATTCAAGGATGCGCGTCCAAACGCCAATCGAGTTTGCGATGCAACGACATATTCTTGGACGCACCATGCCCGCCCCGTCCAAACTGGCTGTGTCGAGACCAGCGCACTAATGAAGTGGCGACGAAGGGTCCATTGACGAAGGCGTTCAAGACCGAATCTGTCTTTATGCTGTTCTGGGAATTTCGGCGGTGTATGGGATGCATCTCGGAGTCCCCATGCGATCATATGAAGCGCACTCACGAAAATGTTGACAGACGCTGGATCCCCTATCCAAACATTAACGATCTCAGCCCAGCGATAGATCTCAGGCATGAAGCGAACTTGTGCACTCCTCTCTTGCAGATCGGCTTGATTGATACACAAGGCATCAATCCAAATGAGTCTAGGTTTCCCGTGCCTTGGTCGAAGCCCTCGTAGCGCCTTGAACAGATTATCGGTGACAGGAACCATAGTCCGCTCGTTTCGGCCACTCCTGTAGCAGATTGTACGGCCTCTTTGAGAGACACCCCACGTATAGGACAGTGCCTCGTACGGAAACACTTCGCCAGACTCGTACGAGCCATCGCAGCCTGCTATTCGTGCCACCAAGACCGGTTTGATGGGCCCAAAGGCGCGCACTTCTCCATTCGCCTGGAACTCCTCAACTTCAGTGGTAGTAGCAGGCAGGAGGCAAGCAGTGCAAAGTCGAAATTCAATTTTGCTTCTTGTCGATAGGCTGGGAAGCAACTCGACTAGACGAATTTCTTTGTTGCTCGAGTCGATACTGCTGTACATAGTCGATGCTGACTCGTTGGCAAGACAACCCGTAAAAAGGCTGGAGAGGCTGATGTTGCGGCGGCCTCTTCGAGTGCTTGAGAGAATGCTGCGGTCTGCATCAAGATTGAGCCATCAAACATGCGGCACTTGCGTAGACGAAGATCGTGTACAGAGCCAATGTGGATACCATAGTCATGTCCAAAGGGAAGGGGTTGCCTCGGCGGCTGCAATCCTCCCGAGAGCGGGCGCGATGGAAGTTTCGTACTTGTGTGGCTGCAAATGTGGCTGTGACTTTCACAGCTCGCGTCGATAATTGATGTAATCGGACGACGAGCACGAAAATCATGGCTCTGTACATGATAAGGCTGTACCTGCAAGGGATCAGCTGCACACCGGTAGCCATCGAGAGAGAAAGAGCAATACATGAAACTAGACTGTGCCTGCCATCTCAACCTGATTGCGGAAGACAAAAGATAGTCAACGCACTGCTGGGAAGTGTACCTATGCGAGCAAAAATTCATTGCTGGAAAAACTTCCCTGGTTGATGTGTTTCTAGCTGCAGGTTGGCAGCGACAGTCGATATAAAACACTCAGGTCTCCCTTCCTCTTCGCGTCCAGGTTGTTGGTCGGGTACTCGTCCCACGTACGTTCATGTAGTCATGTCCTTCGTTGCAGTCTTTTCAGCTTGGCCGTGGTGGAGATACTCGTCAAAGCAAAGATTTCATCGCACATAAAGGGGCACATTCGTTGTATGTTGACGCCACACAAGGCTTAGTGACCTTTGGGTGAGGGCATCCGGTTGCTTGCAAGGAGGAAAGATATGGACGCACCATTCGTGCAGCTAGATTTCGGTCTGATGATCAAGACCACTTGTTACACGGCGAGCGAGAAGGTTTCAGTTCATTGAAAATGAAATCTGTACGCACCAAGCAAATCCACGCGCATGATAGTTGTTGGGTTCTTCCTGGGAAGAACAATGCTACGCAAAGAGCATACCAGTTACAACAAGCCGCAGTCGCCTCGGTACTACCACTTATCGACCTTCCAGTGCCGAGTCAAGGATAAGTCACACCTCTCTAGGAATCTCATACGTTCGCCGAATCCTCTCATAAGCCCGAGTATTCTGCCAAGCGAACACAGACCGTAACAGTCTCAGTTCGAGTCGAGCAAGCAGAAAACAGACGCCAGCGCCAACGAGCACCCATCCAATGACCAGCGCCGTGCAAACAACCGCGATTTTCCAGCCAGGGTCGTGTTCTAGATGATGCCGGAAAGAGTTCAAACCCGCAGAACCAGAACCCAACCAAACAAGCATGAAAGCCAGTGTGAACCATTTGGAGCCTATTGATTCGGCTGAGACTCGCCATCTGAGATGTTGCACACCCGGGAGGACATCTGAGAAGAGGAGCGAAAAAAGGTTATTATAACGAGGAAAAATTTTCTTGGTACATTTTCTTCTCTTTTTTGAAATGAGGGGGGAGTACTCAACTTACCACAGGTTATCAAAAAATTCCAGTTACAGTCATCGGCCCGTTTTGCAATGCGTAGAGTGTCATCGTCGTCGTCGTCACCACCAACAGCGAAGCAATCATGCAAGTCTTCCCGTGATGACGTGAGTCGCAGAGGCCCTCGGAAAGATATAATGACTGATTTCCCTTCCTTGCCGATAATTTTGAAGCACGATCCGCGCCTCACGGTAGACGCCCGCAGACCCGTTGTTACAACATCGAGATCCTTGGGGTCCATGAATATGCAAATCTGGACGTTGCCCTCGATATCTGCCTCGTCCAAGTACAAGTCTGGAGGTTCAAAGCAAAATTTCAAGCTGCGGTTGGCGAATTTCAGGTATTTAGGAAGAGGGAGGATGAGAGGTTGCGAAAGATACCAAGGTTTCCTGTCTAATATCAAGCCAGTCATCGTTTCCCGTCCGCTCCCAAATTCAAAGGAAACATGCGCGCAAGGCTTCTCGAGAAGCATCTCACTGCCGATAATAGCAGTCGGGATCCATGCCTTGTCGGTAGTTGCAGTCCCTCCGTGATATCTTGGACCATTATTCGAGAAGAGGGATAGCGGTATGGTGGAGATGCTTAGGAGGATTGCTTGATATCTCTCTTCCGGCAAGCTGCAGGACAGCAGATCACTAACATCTAGGTTGAGGAGGTTGGCGATGATGAGGGGAACGTCTCCTGGCTGAGAGGTCGTCCTGCCAGCTAATTCGTTCCAGACCTCTGCGAAACCAATGGTCTCGAAGCGGCGGGGGTTCCCATCATGATGTTTCCATGACACCTGGAGATCATTCCTTATCCGCCTTTCATTGTCCGACTCAGGTTCCTGTACGAGTATATCATCACATGTAGCGGGTTGTATTTCGATATCGTCAGCGAGCCGAAGCGTGTCCTTTAGCACGGCGAGAGTGCTGTCAGCGAATAGCACTGTGCGGTGAGCAGGCAGGGTTCCCTCCTGGAGAGTCCAGCTGCGGCTGCGACAAAGATTAGCTGGCCAAGCTCAAATGATGGGTCCCCTTCAAAAGCCGTTCACCTGTTCCAGGCACTGCAAATATAGCGCGCCCATATGTCTAGAGTTAACTCCAGGTCATCTTTGCGCTTAGGCGCCATGCTCATAAGCTCAGCGTCCATGATAAGACACGTGCATGCCCCCTTATATATGGAGGCCATCTTATCGATCTGCGCCATCTTAATCACAATATCAGATGGAGGAATGCATAATGTATCCATCCAGATCAAGACGGGATTCCTTCTCCATTTCCGCCCCAAGCGAGGCAAAAGGAAGACCTTTTCGACTGTCTTGTATAATCTCTCGATTTGGCAAGTAGGTAGTGCACATCGTGCAGGATTGCCCATGCCATCCGCCCAAACATGACTTATCGCCACATATCGAGATGTGAGCTTCCGTTCCCGTACCCTGAGACTGTAGCCGGAAATCTCGTCATTCTTCTCAATTTCAATGAGGGGAATGCTTCCAGTCTCCGCAATACGCTTCAGATCCTCGAATGGGGTCTCGACGAACTCACACGTACAACCCCGGTCCACATGCCGCGTTTTATATGTCGAGTTGTTCACGGTGTAAGCGACGCAAGAAGGCGCACTCCGGCATCGGTCGTGCTTCTGTTCGCGCAGATATACCAGTGAGCTCAGATAGCCGAGAGTCTCCATTTTGTATCTCCTTGCCAGATAGTTGACCCGATGAGGGCACCAGCCGTTAGTGATCATCAACCGCTTGTAGACTTCATTCTTTTGCATCGGAACCGCAGATTGAAGCTCGGAGCCGCCGCAAACTGTGGGCTGGACAGGAGGCATTGTAGTGGTGGAATAGCGCGTGTACCTGGTTTCGGGTCGTGTCATGAGTTCAGGAGAGAAATGGACAGTAGATGACATGTATCCTCACAGCCTTGCCATGCGACTGGGGCAACTGGTCCTCAGCTGGCGTCAAGCCTGTTCCTCAGCTTCAGCGTCAGCCTTGTGTTACGCGTTTGGTTACGCCAGGCAGTAAATTTCCAAGGAATGCCCGTGGCGTAACTGCAAATCTTCCACGCACGGAACTGCGCAACATATCCTTCACGGCAGTGTTGCACAGCGCAGCGTACGGAGCCGTGGCCAGTCTATCTCCTGTCCGGAAACACCAGAAAACTTCGGAAGCGATCGCGCCAACAAACACAAAGAAACTCTCATCCCACAAGGCACCGGAGGAGAGGCCGAATGTTCAATGTCCTTCATTCATTCATACATTATCTACTACCACTACCTCCCCACTTCATCTCATCGACCTCTCCCTTCACCATGCACAGCGCGTGTCATCTTCTCACCCCCCAAACCAAGCAGAACAAAGAACAAACGCCCTCTCCCAATGCTTCCTTCCTCGCTTCGTTCATGCTCGCTGAATCGTGCGAAGTTTCAATCAATCAGAAAAACGCTATGATATGCTATGCTCGCTTGCTTTCGTGATCAATCTCTCGTACAGAAAAGTCCAGGAATCTTGGTTTGCGATGATGCGCGCTCAAATGAATCAGTCTGTACGGTGCGCAGCGATTCTCGCTCTCGTTCTCATTATCAATCCGGGTTCCTCTCTGTTCCTTCTTCAATCTCCAATCGTATGAAAGGCTCTGCCTCGCTGTTTGCGTCGTTGTTATGTGCAAAATGTACAGTCAAGTACACATTAATCGAAAGGGGTTCCCGATGCATGCTCGTCCAAGGTCCTGTGACCAGCGATGGAACAATCAGCAAGAAATCAAGCTCATGGGTCGCTCAGAACACATCATCCGGCCACTCAAAATCCTCATCCTTACTGCCCCTCTTCCCAGCACCATTCGCAGCCAACTTGACCGACCCGTCACTCACAGAACGAACATGCTGACCCACTCCATTCTTGCCTGGCGAGCTCGCTGCAAAACCAGCACGAGGCAAAGCGCAAGTATTGCGTTTGAGGGGACTGTTCGAACGAGAGCGAAGCGAGTGACGCCCGTACTTAGAAGGCGTCGCTGTCGCAGTCGGATTCGGTGGCTCGTCCTGCAAAGGCATGGTACTCTCTTCCTCTTCTTCGTAGACAGGTTCCAGAATGGCATCATCGCCGCCGGAGGATGGAGGACGTGCCAGCTCGTCCTCACTAGGGACGACTTCGATGTCCTCGGTGATCTGCATCTTCTCTTGTTCGACTTCTACAGTCTGCGTTTTCGGGTCTGCTTTCTTCTTCGATCGTGTCATCGTAGTCGTTCTCTTCGTCGTCTTATTCTGGGGTGACTTTGGCTTTGGAGCGCTACTCGTGTTCTTACCCGCAGGACTGTTCTCGGTCTTGCCGGCAGACTTGCGCTTCTTCTTAGTACTGGTCGGAGCAGCTTCATCCCACTCAGCATCATCGTCGCTGGTTACTTTGTCGGGCTGGAAGACCTTGTCGTCGTTGGCCAGCGATCTACGCTTCTTCGACTTGCCGGTCTTCTTCGTCTTGAACTTCACCATGAGTGTGCCATTGCCGGAAGTCTTATTCCCATCGACCTCGGCCGCATTGTCCTCGTGGTCACCTTCGGCATCGGACTCATCGTCCTTTGCTGCAGCCGGCGCAGGATCCCGATTCTTCTCATTGCTCTGTCGACTGATCGGCTTGTCAGGGACATCCGGCTTCTTGAAAATATCCTTCGCGTGGGTACGGCGTGGCGAAGCCTTGACCTGTCGCATTGTCGCCTCTTCATCCACGTCATCGAAAGCCGTATTGAGATCAATCTCTGGGCGGGTTCTGGTGGTCTCCTCTGCACGTGGCACTGTTTCCTCATAGGTCTCCGGTCCACGCAGTTCTGGAAAGAGAACTCGCTCACTAGGCAATGTCGGCAAAGCTCCAGGAACGAATCGAGACCTCTTGTAACTGCTCTTGACACTACTGACAGGAGTGAAGCGCTCAAATTTGCTGCTGAGCTTGGGAGCTGGCGAGGCTTCAGCTAGGGCATTGTCGAGCTCCATCCTTGCTTTGTAAAGCTTCTCCTCCAGGTTGCTGACACGCTTCGATAAGCGATCTTGCTTCTTGAGGTCATACTTGGAGGCACTACTTCGGAGGATCGAAGCAGATCCATCGAACTCGAGTTTCGTAGGTGACACGGAAGTAGAAGACTCTCGTTGCGAGGCGGCCAGATTCCAATCCGACTTGGCTCGCTTGACGGTACCAGTGAGAGAGCCCAACGACGGCTTGCGCAAGTGCATACGAGACAGCCTACCGCGTATCGTTCGTGGGGGTTGCTGCACTTGTGGCGTTTGTGTCGCCTGCTCGCTCTGCTCTCGAGATTGTCCTGCCTGAGAAGTAGTATCCGTGGTATTTCCATATTGAGAAGCTCCTCCAATGCTTTGCTGCTCCCGCGAATGTCCCTTGTACGAATCGATGGACTCGCGATTATCCACAACAACGCCAGAATCCCGCGGCGTAGCCTGAGTTGGCACGAATTGTCCAGCACTCTTCATCTGCGCATACTTCGCTTCTGCCTCAGCTTTCAACCTCGCCTTCCTCTCCGCCTCCAATTTGTTCTTTCGCGTCAAGTCCTCTTTCGTATCATTCCACAGGCGATTCCAGAGCGCAATGGGCTTGAAGCTCGAGCCCCAGGACTTGCCAAACTTGAACATTCCACCTTCCTCCTCTTTCCCGTCCCGCGAATTAATCTCGGCGACTCGATCTGGCATTATTTGCTTCTCGTGCTCGATCGTCGCCTGGACATCTCTTGCAGGCGTGGGCATACCATCGTGGTAATCGGCCATGAGCTCATCCACGTAGGAGAGGTTGCCGCTTTCCGATCGCGGCATTTTCGTGAAGACGGAGGGTGGTTGCTGGCTGGGTTTGTCTGTCAAGCTACCTTCCTGAAACCTCGACTCGCGCGGCGGAGAGTCTTGTCTCCTCGGCAGGACTGAAGTAGAAGCAGCATGGCGCAGATTGAGATTAGAGAGGTTGCGGATGCCCTTTTTACGGCGCAGCTGGGCGGCTTTCTGCGAAGGTGTGTCGGATACGTAGCCGTCATTGGCTCGCACTTGCGAACGCGAGCGTTTCGATGGCGTCGGGCGGTCGTTGTCACTGACGTCGGCAGGGTCGTTTCGGAAGCCGTAGTGATAATTGACATCGTCTGCCGCATCTCGTCTGCGTTTCGAGCCACTAGCCGGCGCGGTGGGAGGTCCGGTGAGGTCCATCATGGTGGTGGTGTTCAGCTGGAAGGCAGCATCTTTGGGCGGGACTGGCGGCGGCGGAGACTCCTCCATCTCCTGCAGGGTGGTGAGGTGGGAGTACCTGTGATCCTGCAGGGCGGTTATCAGCACATGATCACGCGTGATCCCGGCCATGATAGCGGGCGTGTGTTATGAGTTGGTGTGATGAAAAGAAGTGCAGTGCAGCACATCAACAACAGAGTTGTGTCTGCTGTTTGATCATTGTCGTACCTGGAGTCCGTGACCCTCTGATCTTCAGCCAAACAATTCACTGCAAGCTTTCGGCAGGTGGTGCAGGATGGCGCACGGAACGTCTGTGCCTGAGTCCGCGGGTTGGCTGTGAGTGGGTCTCTGTTGCGCTGGCGGATGCGTTGTGTTCGTGTTCGGAGATGCGGGGATCAGCAAGAAAGAGGTGGGTATGTGCAAGAATGTACAAGAATCAATGTCGACAATCTTCCAGTCGAGGAAGTGTAGAACGAAGAAGAAGAGAAGAAGTCGGTCGGCCGTCAGTCGGTCAACACACGAACGCTGGAAGACGCGGAGAGAGGGGATCGACTAACTAACGCACAAGCTTCGGCTCCTGCTCGCAACATGACGCTAAAACACGTGACATGCGCCTGCCAATCGGCGTCTTTCCAGCTCTTTCGCTGCACGTTCACGAGGGAAGGAGCGTGTTTCTCGACCAGATATCAGCTGCAACATACCGCGTCTGCATGCAACATCCCTCATCAGCTCCGAGAATACACATGCACAGCACGAGCGTCTGGATATTCACCACCATCACAGCCGGAGAATTCTCAACGAGTCAAGTGCAATGGCAGCTGTCACTTCGAAACAGAACCCTCCGAACCACGGAACCATATCTTTGAGACATGTTCATATTCCGACAAGCTTTCAACGTCTCCGAAGCAGCGGGACCGGCAACTGGTTCTCTAGCCCAGAGCGTGCAACGTGCGAATTCTGTTTCATTTTCATTTTCCTGAACTCATAGCTACAGAGCTCCTATCCCATTATTGCAGCCTCCAACGAGCTTCTCACGCGAAATCCCCTCTCGACGAGGACATCGAGCCATTGCTTCAACTCTTCCTTTTGCTGTTTGGTAGGTGGTAAATCAGCGAACAACCCCATCCCTCGGACTACGAAGCCCAAATGCCAAGGAATGTGTCTCATGCCGTCTAGTAGGACCTGTTTCGTTCTTTTCATTGGTTTCTCTTTGGTACTTGCGGCTGATCCGTGAATGAGACTGTACTCCCACTCAAGCCACAATTCCCACAGCAGGGGAGAATGTTTGATTTGACCGTCAGGATCCGAGACTGCATTGGAGAAAACAGAGCGGATCGTGTTCATAGTGACTCCAGAAGCATTCTCGTCAGTCACGCGCCTGAGCGCATTGGATAGCGAGTGGGTCCATCGAACCATGTCCGAGTGCTCGGGTCTTCGTGCTGTCGCTGCGTCGCTTGTGCTGCTCGCGCTGATGACCTCTCGCAAACGATCCTGGTTGCTCAGGCGAGAGCGCAGGCTGAGAAGGACACTGTTGCTTGGAAAGAGTTGGAGATCGTTCTCGACTTCTTTGCGGAGTATGGCGGGCTTGTATGCGCGTCGATGACTGATGTGCATATCAAGTAGCTGGGTTTTGTGCTGAAGGAGAAGCTCAAGACCTGGCGAAGAACTCGCATTCGACAGCAGGCGCGCATACTTTCCGTATGTTTCTAGACTCGCGTTAATTGAGCACTCGTTCGTCAGATATGCCAGCCAAGCAAGCAAATTCGCGTAAGCCGCGGCATGGCAGTATCTTTCGGCGAGCAGCATCCGATCGAAACCGCTTTCCAGCTCACGCCGGACCTTGAGCTGCTGCAGTTCCGCATCACCACTCGATTCGCAAATGGTCATGAGACTCGACAGAAGCGCGCGACTATCCGACGTCTTCCTGGCGAGGCATAACAGCCGGCTTTGCCAGAGCAGAACGACGTCGTCTTGTTTGTTCTCAGGCAGACTTGTGCGCATGTTGATCGCAGTCGACCATACTTGAAGCGCCTTTTGCAAGTCCTGTTCGTCTTTGCGCGACACCTGCAGAAGTGCAAACGCGTTGTAGAGACGCAGACTTGAAGAATGGGTCTTGAGCAGTTGCTTCGCCGTTTTTGTCGCAGCATCGGGCAAATGTCGGCATTTGTACGCCAGTGAATACTCCGCGATGCCTTCGTCAAATTGTGTAGCCAGAAGCTGTTCGAGGAGGCGGTCAATGAAGTTGACTGCCGAAGGGTGTACCTCAAATGCAGTCCCGTCGAACAGGCTATCGACCGTTTCAAGCATCGATCTGCTGCGCGCAGAACCCTGATTGCCGTCGAATCGTGACGGCTGCGAGTGCCTGGCTCGAGCGAGATGCGCGTCTCGTGTCCAGGCCGAAAAGTGTGTCGCAGCATCTCCATCGACGGACTCGGCAGGCAACGAGGGCATTCCAAGGAAGAAGAGTACAGCATGGATGAGCAGGATACGATGACTCTCCAGTCTATCGCAGCGCTCGAGCACGTCGCTAATGTCCGAGAACATCACGTATCGGAAAGGATCCTCCACTGCAGCATCATCATCTGCAGTTGTCGACAGACAGACAGATCTGCTCCATTCTCTCTCAATGCTGAGTGTGTCGGCAAAAGTCGAGTTTGCTGTCTTCGTACCATGCGAAATCTCTGGAGCTCGAGTGGAGATTGTGCCATTGGTATGGTAATTCGACCAGCCTGAAGCATCTGCTTCTCCAAATCGAGGACACTCGCTATCCCAGAAGTCCTCGAACGCAGGCAGACGATCCACCAGGCTGGACTCTTTCAGCACGTCCGGCGCACGAGTGATCCATTCCAGAAGTGCTTGCCACGTCGCAATCGAAAGCTCAATATAGCCAGCTCCTCGAACAAATGTCGTATAGCGCAAAAGCACATAGATCTGCACTGCAGCTATCTCCTGCAGCTGCTTTCCAATTGCCTTCTGTGCAGATTTCCGAAGCATAGCGAGACACCGCATATATGCCTCTTTGCACGTCTCGTACTGAAAGCCTGAAGGACCGTCCTGAACATGGTTCAAATAGCGCGTCCAAAGCAGTATACTCGTGGGACACTCTTGAAGTGCTTCTTCCCATTTCTGTGTCCTCTTATTGCTATCCCAGATGTAACGGCCTTCCCCGATCATGGCGAGCACGAGTTCTTCGTAGCCTGGCATATCTTTCGATATATTGGCTTT